GGTTTCAGCTGAAAAACGACCACTGGCTGCTAGAAAAAAGGGAACAGGGAGCATTTTAAAAAGTGCTATATCCAACCTGATGGTATTAGGGCCAAAAGAAGGACTCCCAGCACCAGCAGCAAAGCATAAGCGTGAAGAACTTTGTCGTATTGTGTATTACAGACTAGCACAGTCATTGGTGTTTATAATGAGGACTGTGAGTCAAAACAGGAGTAAATTGTGAATTATATATACTCTCGAAAAAAACAGGAGTGCCCTCATTGAAACAGCTTAGACATACAGAAAATCAAGATAGGCAAAAAAAGTTATTAAGAGTTCTAAATAGCTGTGATTTGTTAGCCTATGAGTATTTTCCTGGCATTCTGAATCCATAGAGTGGTTCCTTGACTCCTAAAATGCCTTATTTTTAGTAAGAAAATTTTTCATTTTTTGACACCAAACCTTCCAATTGCCTAGATTAGTATTTCAGTAATCACTTTTATCGTGATTTATTTCCCTCTGTTGCTTTACATAAGTTCTTTGGTAAATAGAACAGTGTGCATTTAAATTTGATAATTCTGTCATTTTAATGAACATTTAATTTTTCTAGTCTAAAGAAAGACCCCTTTATTTTAAATATTATAAGATTAGATTTATTAATCCTAAGTATTTTTCTCTAAACTGAGATGTTGTTTTTATATCTTACCGTTCATTTGATTATATCCTATATTCAAAAAACAATTTTTAAAGAAATCTGAGAGAATTTAGAAATCATGGAACAATATGTCCTTTTTTAGTTGACAGTTTTTTACTCATTGTACAGCATGAAACAAATTCAAACTCTTCAGTGTGGTTTTATTATCTGGCCCCTACCTATTTTTTACCCCTCCTTCTTTGTCACATACCCTACCTGTTCCCATGCCCTTTAGACTCACGTAATTAAAAAATAAAAGCTGGTATTGCTGGTAACAGTCTGCCTTCTTTTATGGTTGGTGGAAGTGCAGTGCACATTCCCTCTTGTGGCCATCTCATCTAGCCGTCCTACAACCAAGCCACTTCCTCTCCTTATGAAATCCCTTCTAGCCAGGCCTGCTGGTAAATGTCGTAATCCTAGCACTGGAGAGGCTGAAGCAGGAGGATCACCATGAATTTGAGGCCATCCTGGGCTGTGTAGTGAGTTCAAAGCCAGCCTGAACTGCATAGTGGGACCCTGTCTCAAAAAAAAAAAAAAAGAAAACCATCTTCTGTTCCATATTGATGTAGTGAAATGCCTCGCTGAAACCTCCTCTCACCTTTTTAGACTTTTTCATAATTCATTGTATTAAAACAGTTATCACATGGTTGAAGTTGTTCCCCAGTAAACTATACGTCTCTTGACAGCAAAGGGAAAGTACCCTAGTTAGCCTACAACCCAACATAAGTGGATATGTCTCAAAACAGAGAAAGGAAGCAGTAACAAGGGATTCCTAGCATCTAAGCTGTAGACAGCCATACCATTTCAATAAGAATCTCAGGAACCAGCATTTGAGCCCCTCTGTCTTGTTCCAGGCTTGAGTGTGAGCTTGGCATGACTACTGCTACCATCACATGTCCACACTAGAAACTGGCACTGCTCTGTGGAGCTCCTTACTTGCTTACCTTTCTTGGTAAAAGAAGCCAAACTCCTTTTTCCTATCTCTACCTGATGTCAGGCATGGATAATTCATCATACCTTGAAAAGATAATGTCGATAGTACTTAACAGGTTTGTTAATAATATTTAACGTTTACTGAGTGTTGTGTGCTGATCTCTTGACTTAAACCTTTTTCATGTGTTGCCTCGTAATGACCCAGTGAAGTAGATACTTAGTATACCAGTTTTAAAACTGGGGAAAATATGAGGTTCAGTGGATGAACTAAACTGCCCAGTATCATACAACTGTTAACCAAGGTACCTGCAATTTGAATCTAGTGAAATTTTAGAGCCTGCTTTCTTATATACCACTACAGTTATGCCACTATTATATGCATGACCATAGCTGTAGAATAAATAGCATCATGATTATAGTACACTTTTTAAAGTCATGTAGACCTGGGGTGAAAATACATTTTCTTGTGTCAAGTAACTTCACTTCTCTGATCTTTGCTTTTCTCGTATGTAAAATGATAGTTCTTACACCCAAAAGTGTCGTTGCATGCCTAAGTGCATGGTGCATACTAATTAGTAAAATGTTAACTCCATTTGCCCTTTGTACACTTCCTTATATGAGCTCTGGGATAATGGTTTATATGGACCAAGATCTGGCACGAGAAGTAGGCAAATAACCATTAGAGAGTATCTTGTCTTTTGTATAGTACCTACCTTCCAGAATCTACAAGTGTTTTATGGCTGTGATCACATTTATTCTCTTTATGAAAAGGGTGTTCTTAAATATTTAATAATTACATTAGTCACTTCCTATAGTAGAATAAGGAATAAAATCAATAGTTTGTCTACTATAGTAGACTTATGTTTCATTCTTAGGGAACATGTGAGACTCTTGGGTTATTTATTAAATAAAATAGTTTCCCCAATAGTTTTATAAAATAAACTTCTTAGCAGCATTCAATAAAGAAAACTGTAAACACAGGTGCCGTTTTGGAATGGCTTATGGTTTTGGTGTTGTTTTTATTTGAACTATTTTATCCAGGAAGATAATCATTTAAAAAGGAGTCATTTGGCATTCTCTCTTGCATTCTTCAAATTTTTTGATGTTTTTAAAAGCTTAGTTTAAGTCACTTCTCTTAATTATGCAGACAGATTCATCTGTATGGTCTTTTCACTAGTCAGTGAATTTTTTTAAGTACCGGAAATACAATTTTAATTTCAGTGGATCACTTTTGTAAGTTCGAAGAGTATTTTTGACTATCAAAAAATAATTATTTTATATTTCATTGCTTTCCAGTTAATTTCTGTTTACAAAAGTGAGGCTAAATATTTTAATATGCCTCACCTCTTTCATATAAATTTTAAATTTTTAAAAATTTTAATTAGTATGTGTTTGCAGTACATAATGATTGTATTTATCGTGGAGAGTTGGTACATGTATATAACACATCTTAAGATTTTTACATCCTCCCCCCATCTCTTTGTCCCCTTCCCTTTTGCAAAAGATCTATCTCCCTGTTTCCTATTATCTATCTTTTATTTTCCTCTTAAATCTATTTATAATTTGACTTTTTAGTAGAAGAGAAACCTTGTTATGTTTAAGCTTGTGAATAACTTTGAAGGATCATAACTACTTGTCTGCCCCACTCAAGCATCTGGGCAAATTCCACCCCACTGCTGTCTTTAGGTCACACTAGCTGTGAGGTGGAAGATGCATTCTAGGGGACAAACCACAGTGCAAGACCACTTAGGCCTTGGCAGTGTTACCCTGACAAAAGTGATAATGAAGGAATATAGACAAATTAAGGACTTAGTTCATTGTTAAGTTCAATATAGATGCATGGGATAGAGAATTCAGGAGTGGCAGGTTTCTGGATTAAGTATGTCGTGGTGCTCGCTTCTTTTGTTGAATTGCTGCTTAACCCTGAAGGATTTGGTGTATGTGTCACCTTCTATGGGATACCTTCCTACCCCAACTTTTACTGAGTTAGATGGCCATACTATGCTCTTTTATAGAATGCGGCCCTTTGACATGATAGCGTTTATCCAGTTTTGTAACTGGGAATTTATTTGCCCCACATACAGCCTAAGCAGTTCCTCACACTCTGAACCTACCTGGTGAGGGCAAGGACCACCTCTTATTCTTCATTATATACCCAGCTCCAAGCCTGGTCTTAGAGACAGTATATTTGGTAAATAAACTTAGCTGTTGTTTATAATACCTGGTAGAGTATTCAAATACAGTAGTTTGTCTAGGCCTTTTTTTTGGGGGGGGGTTCATTTCTCTAGCTTAACTTAGTTTTTTATTTCAATCTTTTGGAATCTCGCTTTCCTTTTGTTTTGTGGTACTCTCACATTTTAACTTACTGAGTGAAAGAAAGTATCAGCATAAATAGCAAGAAATAGAATTTGGTTATGTGGATTTTGATAGTGTCTTCAAAAAAAATCCCAAGGTTGTTGAAGTCTAAAAAAATTAAAGGCCTTCAGAATAATAGCACTTAATTTTTTAAAAAAAAATCTTACAAGTTCTTGATATAGGTGGTTGGTGTGTTGTACTTCAGAAGCATATTGGGTCCCATTTATGTATAGAATATTTCATTTCAGTTAAAGGTATTAGAACTGGATTCATTGATAAAGTATATGCATCTCTGCAGGTTCACCACCAGGCTTCAAGGAAATGCATTGACATACTAGATATATATTGTGAATATACCGAAGTTGTACTTTAATATACCTAAATTGTACAGAATGGCCTAAAATATTGCAAGTTTGCACTCGTGGGGAAAACAGCAACACAAAAGTAGAAGAGAGAGTGTTAAGCAGACAGGGACAGGGTGGGCAGCACGGTGTAGAAATGATCAGGGTATGCTACATATGTGTACAGATATGCCAAAATGAAATCCATTATTTTTAGTCTATATAGTTAATATAGGGAGGGAGGGTAGGCTGGCCTTGTGATTTCTCATTACTACAGGTTGAGGATAAGAAGTAAGAAAGGAAAAGGATTTGATTTCTGTAGGTTTTATTAGCTCTAAACTGAGTAATGAACCTGTGACCTAAGATCCTTTCTGGACCAAATCTATTGGTTCAGGAATTTGAGTTTGAATTGCACCTTTTCATTCTCATAGCCTCAGCTTTTTGATGAGATCTTAGAAAATGTACTCAAATATGTTTTTAATGACTTTATTTTAATTAAATACAAATAGCTTTCGTAATCTGTGCTAAAATCAATTATTTTTACTATAATTTAAGGCAATAATCTTGATTAAAATATTTAAGATTAATCATTATCCTATACAAACTATGGGAAATAAACTTTTACATTTAGCATTGCCATAAATGTATTCTTTTATAGTTTTTTCACTTTTAAAAGATGTTTTTCTTTTTTCATTTAGGTTACTGCTTTGGAGCAGCCATAAATCTAATTACTTAAAGTAGTTCTATGTGTAAAACTTGCAAAGGATCAGAACAATGCCTCCACGACCATCATCAGGTGAACTGTGGGGCATCCACTTGATGCCCCCCAGAATCCTAGTGGAATGTTTACTACCAAATGGAATGATCGTGACTCTAGAGTGCCTCCGTGAGGCTACATTAATAACTATAAAGCACGAACTATTTAAGGAAGCAAGAAAATACCCTCTCCATCAACTTCTTCAAGATGAATCTTCTTACATTTTCGTAAGTGTTACCCAAGAAGCAGAAAGGGAAGAATTTTTTGATGAAACAAGACGACTTTGTGACCTTCGGCTTTTCCAACCCTTTTTAAAAGTAATTGAACCAGTAGGCAACCGTGAAGAAAAGATCCTTAATCGAGAAATCGGTAAGATATACATTTTTAGCTAAATGTTTTTTCATCCTATTCTAAAAAACAAATAACTACAAAGCTTAACTGTTGTCTCATTATTGAAATATTTTTGCCTGAACCAATACCTTTGCAATATTAAATAGCTTTCTTAGTAAAATATCTTCATAAATCTAGTGTCTTTGGCTGTTGAGTGTGAAACTTATTTTTATTGCCCTGATACTGTATAAGCTCTTCTTTAAGAAATAACCATATGTGGGCAGACTTAGATTTGTTATATCTCAGTTTTGTTTTATTATTCTGTAAAAAAAATTGATATGGATAGCAATACAATATGTTGATTTTTATATACACACACACGCGCGCGCACACACACACATATATAGATACTTTAGACCTTACTACATGTATTCATTAGAGTTTTTTTAACCTAGGAAAACTTCTTGCCTCTATTGTGACCTTCCACATCTATACATTTCCTTGTTGCTAAGAAACATGTCCATACATGCGTGTAATAGAATAATTCATTCTTTATATAATGTTCTCAAGGTTTTGTTATCGGCATGCCAGTTTGTGAATTTGATATGGTTAAAGATCCAGAAGTACAGGACTTCCGAAGAAATATTCTGAATGTTTGTAAAGAAGCTGTGGACCTTAGGGATCTCAATTCACCTCATAGTAGAGCAATGTATGTCTATCCTCCAAATGTAGAATCTTCACCAGAACTGCCAAAGCACATATACAATAAATTAGATAAAGGTAAGAAAGTTGTCAGTGTACTATAATTGTTACTATAGTGACCAGTTCTTCCTTTATTTTTGTTTGTATTTTTACAGTTTTTTTTTGTCTTAGCTAGATGATAAGCTTTTTGAAAACAGAGGTTGCCTACTGACAAGATTTGGTTGATTACTGAGTATACAATTTGTGTACAATAAATACTAATGAAATGAATTGTGTGTAGATAGTGCTGATCCCTTGGATTTTTATCCCAATAAAACTGAAGAACTTTGAGTTTGAAAGTCAGTCTTTTTAATGATGCTAAGAATCAGAGCTGCTTATCTTTTTATAAATAAAAGCAAGTATAAGAAGAAGCATTTATATGTTCTTATACATACAAAGAAAAATTTTTCTTAATATTAGATATAACTCCTATCATAATGAGTCATGGATATACTAAACATTTAATGTACTGATTCCTAGAATTACATGAGAATGGATAACTGTATTGTTTTGGAAATAAATGATATATTAGGTAAATACTTCTAATTTGAACTTTTAGACTAGGTTGACTCTCACATGGTATTCAATATAAAGTTCTACCAGAACAGTATTAAGATATATTTGTTACATACATAATATTCTTAGTAGTTTAATGCGGTATAATATATGTTCTTTTGAAATTCTACTGTAGTAAACATTTTAAAATGGGAATATTCTTTCCACTTTTCTCCATTTTTTATGAAAAATTTCCCACATATAAGGAAGTTGAACTCTGAACGTAGTGCACCTGGTTTTAATCTTTCCATTTTCACATTTTTGTGGGGTTATAGGTATGGTCTCCTGACTTAATTAATCTTAACAACAAAAAATTGGAAGGTCTGTTTCCTCTTTCCTCCTCATCTTCTGAAACTTTTATTCCCATCTTTTCCATCATTTTGATTGAGCATCTTTAAGCCTTCATTGATTCTTTCTCTATTTCCCGTAGTGTTTTACATTAGGCACTGCTGACTCTTTGAAACCACCTTGAGCCGTGAAATATGTCATACAGTTTAAAATGGAAATTAGCTTGGTCTCAGGTACTTGTAACCCACTAACCCCAGTTTTATGTGCTTTGACATAAGACCAAGGAGAATTTAGGCATGGTCTGGCAACTATATCAGTGAAATTTTCCAGTTTCTTCCAGATATTTACTTATATTTAATTAGGTTGATTAGAAATCATTTCTGATTATGATTAAATAATGGATAGTGTATACTTCTTGAAATTTGTCTCTTGAAAAATGAAATAGACACGATGATTACATAACTATGTTTTCCTATTACAGGACAAATAATTGTGGTGATTTGGGTAATAGTTTCTCCAAATAATGACAAGCAGAAGTATACTTTGAAAATCAACCATGACTGTGTGCCAGAACAAGTAATTGCTGAAGCAATCAGGAAAAAAACTCGAAGTATGTTGCTATCCTCTGAACAACTAAAACTCTGTGTTTTAGAATATCAGGGCAAGTATATTTTAAAAGTGTGTGGATGTGATGAATACTTCCTAGAAAAATATCCCCTGAGTCAGTATAAGGTGAGTAACAAGTTTCAAGAATGTTAATTTCAAATTTTAAAAGTAATCACAGGACCCGATAGCTATATTTTTAGGACATAGTTTTGAAAATTAAATAATGAACATAGGCAAATAAAATTTACAAGTTTTTTTTTTACTGTAATTATGTAATTTTAGATACTGAAAATGTTGGTAATTGTACAATATCAAAATATGGAGTATTTCATGAATTTAATTCTCTTCCAAACAGTGGCATAGGAATGGGTGTAAAGTAAACATATCAAAAAATCTATGATCTGCTGTGAAGATGTACTGTTAATGCTTCCCTGTTATCTTTTTCTATTCATTAAATACCTACGGGAAAGAACTCTTGGAGGTATTGAGTACAGTGCCGGGACAAAGCAAGGTCCTGGCCTTCAGGTTGTTCATGGTCCAGTAGGGCTCATAGAAGAGACCATCGGCTATTATAATATGAATAAAGTAGCATTTATATTTAAAAATCTCTATTCTGACATTTCAGAGTTCAGCTCAGTGTAATACTTTATGAATATTTTGATAAATCTGAGTCTGCCTGATTATTTTTAAAAAAACAAGTGTCTCTCAGGAAATGTTTAGACAGGAGAGCAAGTAGGCCCGCAGTATGTCAGAGGCTTACTAAATAACCCTGCTTTCCTGTTACAATGAGTATCCTTTTTCGGGGTGGGGGGGCAGTTAAGAATAGAACTGTACTGTCCAAAGCTTATTTTTTTTAACATATAGAATTTATATCAAGTACTTGGTTGATCTGTGCTATAACCTAACTCCTAAATTTCACTATTTTAAATGTTACAAGAAACTACTCAGAAATATGGTGTCTATAATGTTTGTCTTCTTTATCATCTTTACAGATTAATATGTGCATTCTCATAATACTCTTACATGTTGCTTTTAAAATGAAAAACTTTACAGGAAATGGCTTATTCCCTTCCTGCTTCATCTCTTACAGTATATAAGAAGCTGTATAATGCTTGGGAGGATGCCCAATTTGATGCTCATGGCTAAAGAAAGCCTTTACTCTCAGCTGCCGATGGACTGTTTTACAATGCCATCCTATTCCAGACGCATCTCTACAGCAACCCCATATATGAATGGAGAAACATCTACAAAATCCCTTTGGGTTATAAATAGTGCACTCAGAATAAAAATTCTTTGTGCAACTTATGTAAATGTAAATATTCGAGACATTGATAAGGTAAGGCCAAATGTTGGTGCATATTCTTCTATAGAAATCATTTTACATAAACCTTTTTATTGAGGTGGATACTAGTCTGTTGACCTGTAGTATGTTTTCAGATGAATAGAAAAAATTTAGTCTCAATATACAAATATGTGATGAATTCTATTTGTTTCTATCTGCCTTAGCTTTTACTTAGCTTTCAGTCTTTTGTAATTCTAATATCCATTAAGTTTTTAGAACTAAAAGTTTTGTAGAATTCATTGGACAGCAAAACCTGGTCTAATCTAAAGTGAGTCTTTTATACTCTTGTTTCTCTTCAGATCATATAAATCTTTCGCCTTTCTAAAGTGAGTCTTTTTGATAGTCTGTTAATTCCAGTTAATTGGGCACTGTTCTAGCTGTTAAAGGCTTTACGTCATACCTAGTATACACAGTATACCAACTTGTCTCTCTTTTTTCCACAGCCTTTCTTTGTTTCTTCAGTTGTAATTTTTTTAATTGTTACTTTTAGTGGTACATGTTTACTGTGCATAATGATTGCATCCCTCACGTGGAGCTGGTACATGTGCATAACACATCTTAATTCTTTTCATCCCCTTCCCTCAATTTTCTTCCCCCTCCATCTCTTGGTCCACTTTGGGGATTGTTTTGTTTTGTTTTGTTTTGTTTTGTTTTGTTTTGTTTTGTTTTGTTTTGAGACAGGGTCTTCCTGTGTAGTTTAGGCCGGCCTTGAACTCACTTTGTAGCCCAGGCTGGCCTCGAATTCATAGCGATCCTCCTGCCTCAGCCTCCCAAGTGCTGCAATTACAAGTGTGTGCCACCATGCATACTATACTTTGGTTTTTTGAGACAGTCTCAGTATGTAGTTGAGTATGGCCTCAAACTCATGGCAGTCCTCCTGCCTCAGCCTCCTAAGAGCTGAGATTACAGACATGTGTCCTCACACCCAACTCAGTTTATCTTTCTAAACATATGAAAAGCTGAATTATGTACCTAGCTTGAAGGGCTCATAGGCCTGTATTAATTAGTGGCCTGATAGCCTATCGTTATTAATAGTTGAAGGCAGTAGCAAATTTTGGTGAGAAATCTTTGTCAGTATTAGTTTATTAAATATGTGAAGAAAAGTAGAAAAATTGTATCTAAATAAAAATTTTTATTGGTTGTCTTGTTCATATTACTTACATTATTTTGTTGTCTGATACTTGGTTCTAAGTATGTGTATATTTGTATGAATGTACATTCTGTATACACTTTTTTTTTTTTAGATCTATGTTCGAACGGGTATCTACCACGGAGGAGAGCCCTTATGTGACAATGTGAACACTCAAAGAGTACCTTGTTCCAATCCTAGGTACGGCAGTATTTGGATATATTTCCAAAGATCTTATTAATAATTAGGAATGTGAACTGTAAATGTTTTATATCATCAGTTTTATGCAAATTATATAAATTACCAGACATTTACATATAGAACATAAGGAGTTTTTGTTAAATAATTATCGATCACTTTATTGGTACTAAAATCTTATCCAGAAGAGTTTTCTGATTATCCCCATTATTTAAAGGAGAGAACAGAATATGCTTATTATATAGATGGCTCCCCGCTTTAGATTAAAAAGCTAGCATATTGTTTTCTTAGCCCCATTTCTCTTTATGTGAAGAAGTAAGAGTTGTCAAACAATACCAGAGCCAAACTACCCTGGTGGTTTCCTTCAAATCACTCTCAGAATCCTTACTCATGGTATTCAGTTTTTCAAAGGGTCTTTGGAAAAAATCAATTTTGTAAGGGGAGAGGAAAGCATTGTGAGCATTTTAAATCATTATTGCATAGACATAATAAAAAAAATCTAATGCAGTGTAAGTCACACGCCTGCTGTCCTTCAGTTTCTTTGAGTCTCTAGAGTTTTTGAGGAAAAAGAGTCTACCCCTGGATATAATAGCAGTGATATTGTAAGGAAACTCAACTTAGTCCTGAAGATTGAAGATAAACAATATAAAATAGCACAGGAGGTAACTAATGAATTCTCCAGAAGTAAACACACAACAAACGTAGACTGACTTCTAGGAGAATAAAGAGAAGGTTCCCATTTTTGATGGATTGCTAGAGATGATCATCCTGTAGAGCCCAGGTAAAGTTCAAAGAGATGGTAGCCTTCTCTGCAGAGGAAGAGAAATAGTTCCTTATCCTACCTGAACTACTGCAGGTCAGAAAGTACATCATTCAGGCTAGAAGTTATGCTATGACAATAAATAACCCCAGGATCTTTCTCAGTTTTTTCTAAAGCAGCACTTTATTTCCTAGTCATACTGATAGTCTGTCACAAACTGAGTGGACTGATTGTGGAAGGAACAGAAAAATACTTTGAGGAAATAACGGCTAGAAATTTTGCAAATTTGGTGAAAACTACAAGCGTATCATTCCAAGGAGTTCAACAAACTCCAAGCAAAGACCCCTTAAATGAAATTAGGTGCATTTAGAAGAAAAAAAATTTAAAGAGGATTTAAAGAGGAAAAAAAATTGTAAAACAAGATAGTAGCAGAGTAACAATGGTTACTACATTGTGTATTGTTGTCTTTAAATTAGTTACTAAGAGTACAAGATACCAGCATTTAATTGTCCAAACACTATTAGCACAAACCTTTCTTTTCGATGAACTAAGACAAATTAGTAGTATAATTATCTTAACTTTTATATATATGTGTTTGTGTGTATATATATAAATATGTATTTGTTTACTTTTCCCTTCCTCTTTTCTCCATTCCCCCATCCAAGTTTCTCTTTGCTTTTTTTTTTTTTTTTACCAGGAATCAAACTCAGGACCTTGTGTTTGCCAGGCAGGCACCTGTGCCGCTGAGCTAACTCCCCAGCCCTCTCTTTCCTTTTGAAGTTTCTTACCATTTTACAGTATCAGTTGTACATTTTGGATCTTATTTACTCTTTCAGCTTCTCACACCAGTGAGACAATATGATATTTATACACGTGCATCTGGTTTATTTCACTTACGAGTGTGGTCTCAAGTTGTATTCATTTGCCTGTAAAAGTCTCCAGTTTAAAGACTACATCTTTTTATCCATTCCTCAGTTGACGGGGAATTGGGTTGTTTCCAGGATCTAGCTATTGCAAATTGTGCTGCTATAAACTTGGGTGCACATATATCACTATGGTACAGTGTTTTTAATTCTTCAGGAAAGACTCAGAAGGGGAATAGCTGGATCAAATGAGACCTCTAATCCTAGTTTTTTGAGGAGTCTCCACACTGATTTTCACAGTGGTTGTACCAGTCTTCACTCCCACCAATACCGGAGAAGGGTTACTTATTCCCCACAGCCCCTCCAGCGTTTATTATTGGTTGATTTCAGGATGCTAGCCATTCTTTCTGGAGTGAGATGGAATCTCAGTGTTGTTTTAATTGGCATTTCTCAAATGATCAATGATGTTGAACATTTTTTCATATATGTATTTAGTGTTTGTATGTCTTCATCTGAGAAGTGTGTATTCATCTCAAATGCCCATTTTTGGATTGGGTCTTTAAATTTGGGAAGTCTGATTGTTTTCAAGCTCTTTGTATGTTCTCAGTAGTAATCCTTTGTCTGAGGAACAGCTGGCAGACATTTTTTCTGACATTGTGGTTTGTCCCTTCACTCTGTTGGTTTTTCTTACTGTGCAAAACTTTGTAATGAGATCCCAGTTGTTGGTTCTTTGTGATAGTTCCTGTGCAGTTGGGGTTGTATTCATAAAGTCATTGCCTACACCAGTGTCTTCAAAAGTTTTCCCTAATCTGTCTTCCAGTAGATTTAATGTTTCTGTTTTAATATCTAGGTCTTCGAGCCTTTTCAAATTTAGTTTTAGTGCATGGTGAAAGATATGGGTCCAGTTTTAATCATTAGCACGTGCAGAGCCAGTTTTTCCAGCACCATTTATTAAAGATGCTCTCTTCCAGTGAATGTTTGGCATCTTTGTCAAAGATAAGGTGGCTAAGTATGTCTGGAGTTGTTTCTGCATCTTCTCATCTGTTCCATTGATCTTTGGGTCTAATTTTTTTGCCAGTACCACACTGTTTTTTATCGCAGTAGCAGCTTCATAGTATAATTTCAAGTCAGGGATTGTGAGGCCCCCTGCTTTGCCTTTATTGCCGAGAATTGCCTTTGCTATTCTAGATCTATTCTGGTTCGAAATGACTTTTAGGATTGTTAAAAAGGACTATATTTGATTATGTTCAAGAATTCCTTCATCTAAAAGATGAAGTCCCTATGGAAGTAGTGTGAGGATTTAAGTAAATTTTTAAATTTTTCTATATTTACAAAAATAAAATTAGAGATAAATAAATATGAAGTTATTAGGAAGATAGAAAAGTAAAATTTGAAAACTCTTGAATGAGGTATTTTGGTCTAAATCTGTGCTTTCCTTACACTAGAAAAATTACAGTTTTATCATAAATGTACCAGTACCTCAGGCAGGTATGGTGACATATACCTGTAGTCCAAGCTACTTCAAAGGCTGAGGCAGAAGGATTACAAGTGTCAGGTCAGCCTAGAGATCTCATTGAGACCCTCCCTTAAAAAAAAAAAAGCACCTCAAAAGGGCTGCTGATATACCAGTATCTCTCAGAATTAAAATCAATTTGGAGTGTGTATGTATCCATGTGTGTATGTGTCCATTTCTTGAAAAAAAAACTTGATTTGTGTGTTTGTGCATGCATGTGCATGCTGAATGGATGGATTTAGAGTGAAAGCAAATCATACTTTGTTTTATTAGTATAGTGCTAGATTCATAGGGAATAGTTCTCTTTGTGTGTATATAGAATACTTCCCATTATTTTGTGAGCAATTCTAGAGATTTAGAAATGTCTTAGATAAATTTAAGTAGATGTACCTTTAATTTTTTTTTTTTTTTTAAAAACAACTGCAGGCTTACTAATTCCAACAATTTCCTCCTCCTAGATTTCTATAATAGCATTTTTTTCCTTTAGAATTGTTGCCAAATTCTTCCACTTTAAATAGAAGTCTTTTTACTATAAATGGATGATACTTTTCAGTCTTTGTTTAAGCAAAGATATTAGATAAATAAAACTTATTTTATAAAGTCTGTCCATTAGTTTGACTAATCAAAAATAAAATTTCTGTATCTTAAAACTTGTTTTATTTGTACTTTAAGGATAAATTAAAATTATGAAGAAGCCATATGTTAGTTGGCTTTCCCATTGCTGGACAGAATACCCTGACCCACAGCTTAAAGGAAGAGGGCCTTACAGGGCTCATAGTTTCAGAGGGTTTAGTCCATGGTCAGCTAGCTTCAAGCAGCAACACCATGGCTGAAGGACATAGCATAACAGAGCTGCCCAGATCACCATGGCCAGAAGGCAGAGCAGGGAAACCAGGCCAGAGGAATGGTTCAGGGGCCAGATGTAGTACTCAAGTTCATACTTCACTGACCCATGCAGACATACCCAGAAGTAATAATCCCTTAGGTAATTCCCGAGCCAATCAGCTTGACAGTTAAGGTTAACCATCACAAGCCAAGTGAAAAATTTTCAAGTTAATAGTATGTAACACCTGAACTTTTACTCTTGTTCAAGGCATTGTTTTAATCATTTTACATAAGTTTTAATCCCTTTACTTATGTCATTTAATCTTATGAGAAAGAAACAACCTTCTCAGGGTAGGTAACTATTTTAGTCCCACTTCACCAAGGTGATGAAAAACAATATAAGGCAACACAACACACTTAGTGACATAGTGGGAACAAGATTCAACTCGAAGCAGTCATTCTGAATCCATTGTTGTATGCTTTACCCATTGTTTTATAATGTTGAGAGGGGAAAAAGCTACTTACTGTACATGACTCTTTACAAACATGTCCTTCACATACGTACATGATTTCATCTGTAACATCCTGTAAGTTGAGGGAATTTATAAAACTTCAAATAAATTTTAATCATATTACTTTTTTTATAATATTTTATTCTTCCTTTAATTTTGTTACTTCTTATGAAGTAGTTATTTTAAAATTCAAGTACGTACATTCTTCCTATAGATCTTTTATTTTCATACTGATTTATTTGGATTAGTGAATTATCCTGAATAAAACTATATTATGTATAGAAGTAATTTAATCAAATTAAGGAATTATAATTTTATCTTGTATAATTTTCCTTTTCTGTTTAACTTTTTATGACGGCAACTCTTAGTTTTTTTGTTTAGTGAGGTATAGCGCATATGCATGTAAAAAGCAAACAAATCATAATTGTTCAGTTCAGTGAATTATCACAAAGTGAATATTCATGTAGCCAGTATACCAGTCAAAAAATAAAACATTTACCAGCGTCTAAAAGCCTACCCTTATGTTCATTACCAATCTGACAACATTTTTTCCTACCTAGAGGTAGCCACTACCCTGATTTATATAATTTTGGGCTAGTATTGCCCATTTTAAATTTTATATAACTGGACTCAAAGAATAGGCATTTTTTATGACTAAACTATTTTGCTGACCATGTTTGTAGGATTTCATCCATTATGTTAGTAACTTGTTCATTTTTATTGCTGTGTAATGTTCCATTATATAAATATATGTACTATAATTTACCTGTTCTGCTCTTGGACATTTGATTATTTGTAGTTTGAGGATATTATAAATAATTTTGCTATTAGTGTTCTACACACAAATATACACATTTCTGTGATTTTATTCCTAGAGATGAAGCTGGATCATAAGACATTTATATATTCACTTTTAATAGATTGTGCTTTCTGATTTGACTCTAACAAATTATACCCCCACTTTTAGTGTATGAGCTTCACTATTACTACAAAATATTCTTACCACCCTTAGTATCATTAGACGTTTCAGTTTCAGCCATTCTTATGTGTAGTGACAGCTTCATGAGATTTTAATTTTCATTGTCTATATGAAAATAACATAGCCTAGTTTTTCATATTTATTGGTCATTTCAGTATGAGCTCTTAAAGTGCCTGTCCCAGTCAATTACTTGCCTGTTTTTCATTTCTTGATAATTTATAGAAGTCGCTTTTATACTCTGGGCAAAGCTCTTTTCCCCTCTTATTTTGGTAAGTTCTTTTTTTTTTATAATTTTGCATAGGTGGAATGAATGGCTGAATTATGATATATACATTCCTGATCTTCCTCGTGCTGCTCGACTTTGCCTTTCCATTTGCTCTGTTAAAGGCCGAAAGGGTGCTAAAGAGGTAAAGTATTTCAGGAGGAGCAATTATGACCACCGCCAAAATCTCTTAATTACACCTCTGATTGAGTGTTCTCACAGATAATAGGTCAGACCTGTTACAGCTTTTAATAAATAAAAACATGACAGAAGACTATCTTAGAAGAACTTGAGTATTAGGTCCTAAATAATAGTGAGTGTTATGTCCCAAATAATAATGAGTAATGATGAGTGTTATGAGTAATGATGAGTATAATACTCATAATGATGAGTATGTCCCAAATGCAAAAAATGACTGCATAACAGTGATTGAATGCAAATATGTATTGTACCTCTTTTGTTTCACATTTTCTATTTATAATTAAAATATATCTAATTTCAAATAGAAAAAGGCAAGAAAGTGCTTAAATCTTGAGAAATGGCTTTTGGTAGATTTTATATCCCAGTTATTATAGAGACAGTTGTTGAATTCTCCTTTCTAGGAAAAAAGTGTTTTGAAATGCATTTTATAATTTAATCCCTAGATTAGTGAACATTTTTCTTTGCTTTTTAAGGAGCATTGTCCATTGGCCTGGGGAAATATAAACTTGTTTGATTACACAGACACTCTAGTATCTGGGAAAATGGCTTTGAATCTTTGGCCGGTACCTCATGGATTAGAAGACTTGCTGAACCCTATTGGTGTTACTGGGTCAAATCCAAATAAAGTAAGCTTTTTATTATCATAATTTTTTTTTCTTTTTTAATGACAGTCAGCTACAACATATATATTAACTTTTCTTCCATCTCTTAGGAAACTCCATGCTTAGAGTTGGAGTTTGATTGGTTCAGCAGTGTGGTAAAGTTTCCAGATATGTCAGTGATTGAAGAGCATGCAAATTGGTCTGTATCCCGAGAAGCAGGATTTAGTTATTCACATGCAGGACTGGTAAGGAAAGTCGCTGAGTTTCTGAAGTATCAGTTTTAATCTGTATGCAGACAAAGTTTTGTGTATTTTAGTTATAGTGGCTTAAGTATGAGGATAAAATTTTCTGTGTGCTAATACTTTGCGTGCAGCTGTTTCTTCTTGGCTTATTTGGAGCCCTAGCTTGTCTGCATTCATATCAGTATTTATTGAATGCCAGCTATATGTAAAACACTAAGAGAAGTACTCGATAATGAAGTGTGAAGTAAATAAATCTCCACTGACGATTCAGTCTAATGGTGAAAGCAGACATAAAACAGACATAAGCAGAAACATAAGGTTGTAAATCATGAAAGTGCCATGAAGGAAGAGACAGTAGTGCAATTAAAAAAAAACAACTAACTGGGAGAGGGCAGTTTTGCAGGGCGTGGGCTAATACATGATTGGGTCTGGGAAAACCGTCCCTGAGATGGTAACCTTGCAGTGGAGACTGAAGTATAAATGTGGTGTTAATTGAGCCGTGGTGTAGAGGAAATAGCAGTTTTCGCTATATTTGATCTAGTTATCCAGTATTGTCCTTAACTTCAGAACCATAACATAACTGGGTTCAAAGACCATTAATTGTCCCTTACGTCTCACGGACAAATTGGTGGGTTAAAGATAGACCAGCCAATGAATATTGGGCCAAGAGGTCTTCAAGTACGCCTATCCCAGGCAGGTAATAGCAGCACCAAGAAGCACCGTAGAATACTGCACTGAGGAACTTTCAGTTTATAGCCCAGCAAGAAATTTGCCCATTGCTTTTGTAAATTGAATAATGTAACATTTTCCTGCATATACAATGTAAAAGGTATGAGTTTCTTTTTTGAGTAATAGTGGCTCTTTGTAAGTTTTGATATTTTATGACCTATAGTCTTTCTTAGAATTCCTTATTCCTTATTCACTAGTTACTGCTAATTATGCTTTAAAAAAATACTAAATAACATGAAGATATAAAAGTATATAATAGCCTAGAAGGATGATACGACAGTGAAATAAATCATCACTATTACATAATCAGTTTTCTTATTTCATTGCTTGGTGACTTGCAACATCTTTCTAGGGGTATAAAAGCAGTCTGAAACACCATCTTCATAGGTTTTTCTCCCCTTTGGGGTTTTTTTAGGCTTTCAGTGAGCTGAATTTTTCACTTTATACCCATAACATGGGCAAACTATATAGGTATAAATACCTGTAATTATATAGGTATACCTATATACCTAAAAAGAAGCAAATTATAGAGGAAGATATAATACAGTTACTAGATAAATCATAGTAGGAATACAGAGATGGATAGTAAGACTCCAAAGCGGTGTTTCTCCATTCTAGGCCAAACAGTTCTTTGTTGGAGGAGATGCCCAGCACACTGCAGGCTAGTTCAGCAGCCTCCCTGGCCTCTACCCTGGTAAACACCAGGACCATCACCACACCAAGCGGTGCCAGTCAGAAATGTCTTTAGACATTACCAGGGTCCCTAGGACCTAAAAGGGAAAATCACCCCAACTGAGAACTGCTGCTCTGTACTCTAATGATGATGATGAAATTTATCATGTAAATGAAATGCCAGATACTATCCTATGTGAGTTTTCTCAAACTAATGATAACAGTGAATGAGCAACACATTTCTGAGGACAAATAAGAAATTTGATACTCAAATTCAGTTAGTAATTCAGTGCGAGTACTTTACTCTGATAAGATTTTATGACAAGAACTTGAGTTGTGTTTTACAGTGTTCTTCCAATCTTTAATGATGCTACACACCAATATTTACTTTTATTTACACTTCTGAATGGGTAAATACAGAAGGTAGGTGTGTACAAAAAGTGACCAGAATGAAAAGGGTGATACAGAAATTTTTAAAACTCCATGGATTAGGGGGCTGGGGATTTAGCTCAGCGGCAAAGCGCCTGCCTGGCAAGCGCAAGCTCGTGAGTTCGGTTCCCGGTACCGGAGGAAAAAAAAAAAAACCTCCATGGATTAATCATTCTGTTTGGTGTTTATGAGTATAAAAAATGGAAATTTGCAATTACTGAGTAAAGAAAATAGCCCATCTTTAAAATTATGGGCCATCAGTTTTTCAAAAGTGTTCCATTTTCAATGTAGTTTACAGTTTGACAGTGATGTATTTCAAAACAAGGACAATATGAATAAAAATTTGGTTTTACTATGTCTCAATTCTTTTAAAGTATCTAACAAAATTGTATTTCATCATTACTTTATCTTTCCATAAATTATTTTGTATCAAAAATAAGTAAATAGGGGCTGGGGATTTAGCTCAGCACCTGCCTGGCAAGTGCAAAGTCGTGAGTTCGGTTCCCGGTACCGGAGAAAAACCAAAAAAAATAAATAAATAAATAATAGTACAGTCTGTTGGACCCAGATGACAAACAGTAATGGCTCCTTTTCCTGTAAATGTGGGGTGAAGCATTTATTACCTCTTGGCCAGACTTTGGAGTGGCTTCTAACTGTCCCCTCTTCTTCCATCGAGCAACCAGAATAATCTTTCAGAAAGAAATCAGATTCATCCTTTAAATAGCTCTCACTGCAAGTAAAATTGAACCTTTCTAGCCTGACGGCCAATCTCACCTGTACTAACTTCTCCTTCTCCCATCTCTCCCTTCTTCAGCACTGGACACTGGGCCAGTTGACTCCCTTCCTTCTCTCCTGTCAGGTCCAGCTTGTTCTTCCGTGGGGCTTTTGCACTGTTTCCTCCATCTGGATTTGTCTGTCCGTGATCTTACTGTGGACCACTTCTTGTCATTGAGATACAAATTAGGCATTAGATGCTCAGAGGGTCTCTAATATTTTTCTTTCTTATTTGATTTCCCTCTAGAAAGGAGGCTGTGTCAGTGCAGGGTCTTTTACTGTTTTATAACTCCAACAACAAGACTAGGAGAAGGAAAACAGTACACATTTAACAAATTTTGAGTAAATATGTGCAAGTAGTATTTCTTCATGCCTTTGAATAAACTAACTGTATAAAAGTCCAGTCACGCCGGGCATGGTGGCACACGCCTGTTATCCCAGGACTCGGGAGGCTGAGGCAGGAGTATCATTGTGAGTTTGAGGCCAGCCTGGGCTGCCAAGTGAGCTCAAGGCCAGCCTGAACTGCATAGCAATACTCTTGTCTCAAAAAAAAGCCAAAAAATAAATAAATAAAAGTCCAGTTGTGTGGCTGTTTTCATTTGTAACTTTAGAAATGGCTGGCAATATTTTTTTGTATAATGTTAATATGCATTTATACCTGCTCATTCTCCAGTTAATCTAAGTATATTTAAAGGGAATAGATACATGACTTGGAATTAAACAGAAGGTTGCATTACTATCTTTTAAATTTGTTTATAGTATTCAGAGTACAGGGTACAGTGTTTTAGTGGGGTATTCCATCCCCTTTTTTCTCCTACCTGTTCTTACTTTTAAATTTGAAAGCCTCACAGCAGTTAGAAGTTGAATTCAAGCAAGAAACATAAAAGTTTAAATTTTTATTTTGTTACTTTACTGTTTCTCATTCTTTTGTACCAGAAATCCTACTAGCAGGTTAGTTAACAGGATACTAGGAAGGGGTCTCATCAGAAGGAAGAGGAAGTGACTCACTGCCGTCCTCTGGTATCCCAGTCTGGCCTTCTCCCTGATTTCACTTTGGCAGTTACTGTTCTGACTGTGGTTGGTAGTAATATTAACCATGTATATGATCAGATTTGTTCTGCAAATATGTACTTAAATTGGTTTTTCTGTATCCCTAAAAATGAAGTTTTAAGATGAGAGTATTTTATAACAGTTAATAAGCAATGTAAAGTTTGTTGAAAATTAATCTAGGGAAAGATGTGTATGACAAAGAAACCCACGTAAGATATTACTTTACTTTACAGAGTAACAGACTAGCTAGAGACAATGAATTAAGAGAAAATGACAAAGAACAGCTCCGAGCAATTTGTACACGAGACCCTCTGTCTGAAATCACTGAGCAAGAGAAAGATTTTCTGTGGAGTCACAGGTTTGTGTTAATATGGAGATTCTTGTTTTTTATTATAGAAGAAAGGACTGACTTTGGTTGAACATGCCATGTTTCTACCATGCCTAATATGGTAAATAAAGCATAATTTACATGATTTTGTACTGACTTTTTAAAAACTATGTATATAGATTAATATTTCTAGAAAGATGTGCTCCATTGATACTTATTTTACTCATTGAAAGCTTGTAATATTTCATTTTTCCCCAGTAATAGGGATTGAACCCAGGGCCTTGAGACTGAGCTATAGTCCCAGCCATATTTTTTATTTTGTTTTTGTTTTGTTTTTTGTCTTTTTGAGATAGGGTCTCACTATGCAGTTCAGGCTGACCTTGAGCTTACTTTGTAGCCCAGGCTAGTCTCGAACTCGAAGCAATCCTCCTACCTCAGCCTCCCAAGTTCTGGGATTACAAGCACACGCCACCATGCCCAGCTCATATTTTTTATTTTGTTTTGGAACAAGAGTCTGGCTCAGTTCCCCAAGCTAGGTTCGAATTTGCAGTCCTGTTGCCTCACCCTCCCAAAGTGCTGGGATTATAGGTGTGTATCACCACACCCACTTTTTCCATGTTTTTATTGACACTGGGGATTGAATTTTAAAGTAGTTGGCATGCTAATCACTCACCCACTATTACTCTAAGCCCTGAAGGCTTTTAAAAACTCTCTTAGGACTTTTTAAGGATTTTTAAAAATAAAATTCAAGGAAAAAACTTCATGTAATTCTAGACCAATTAGGTATTTCATTGGTCTTAAATATTATAATTTTCTGGAATTGTCTTCCATTTTTCTGTTTTTCTTAAACTTCCTCAGAATAATACTGTAATGCCTGTTTTCACGTAGGCAAAAATTGTCTCGCTACTTGTAACTACTTGGTATATTTAACAAAGCAGTTTCAATACATTTGTGCAGAAAATTGTTAAAACATGTTTTGTCCAGTAACCTCAGCAGAAATCATGGCTCTGGGTTCCAGTTGCATAACAGTCTGAGCAATCTAAAGAGTGGTATAATGTATATTCATAATTTCTCTTAATTGTCAACTAAATTTAAGCATTTTTTCTCCACTTGGATTTCCTTTTATTTTCTTTGCCATATATACTTACTAAGTACATATGTAGATAATACACAGATATATTATTAAGTACTGATTTGTTTTTATTTTTAAAAAGGCTGGTAATGCTAAAAAAAAAACTTTAGAACTTCTGAAAGAATGCATAAAGAGTTAGACCTCTAGGTCTTTTGAATAACATGAAAGTACTTTTTTTCTTTTGTCTTTTCCAACAGACACTATTGTGTAACTATCCCTGAAATTCTACCCAAATTGCTTCTGTCCGTTAAATGGAATTCTAGAGATGAAGTAGCTCAGGTAAATGCATGGCTCATATTCCTTAAAAGACATTGCACTAAACTAGTATGTCACCCAAATTGTTTTCTATCAGAAAATGTTCATAAATTTAAAAGGTGGAATAGACTGCTAATTATGGTAACGTGATAGAAAAAAATGTCATTCACATCCTTTCTACAGATAAAACTCATTAGTACTGTAGATATTAAGGCAGGTTTTTTAAATCTTAACTAATTTTAAAATCAGAAGTAAAAAATCAACTAGTGTGTTCATTCACAACTGACCTTGCTTTGTAAATACGATTTTTTTTCTTTCTCATACACAGATGTACTGCTTAGTAAAAGACTGGCCCCCAATCAAACCTGAGCAAGCAATGGAGCTTCTGGACTGTAATTACCCAGACCCAATGGTTCGAGGTTTTGCTGTTCGATGCTTGGAAAAATACTTGACAGATGACAAACTTTCTCAGTACCTAATCCAGCTAGTACAGGTAAAATAATGTAAAACAGAAAGTAATACTTCATTCCAAATATATGTAGTTTCCAGGTTACTTTACTAACTTCAGCAGTTGTATGATTTTTTAAAAAAAAATCCATTTTATTACCAATAGTATATACTTTGTAATTTTTTCTTTAAATGCAGCCATGCAGAAATGGATGCTAATTTATTTGAGTTTTTGTTCTTTTAATTAATCAGGTCCTAAAATATGAGCAATACTTGGATAATCTGCTTGTGAGATTTTTACTCAAGAAAGCATTAACAAATCAAAGGATTGGACACTTTTTCTTTTGGCATTTAAAGTAAGTCAAATTATCTCCCCCACTCAATTCTTTATATATATATGTATACACACACACACGCACACACACACACACACACACTGTATATCACTTGCTTTCTTAATAAATGTACAAACAGCTGGGTGTTGTGGCACATGCCTGTAATCCCAGCACTCAGGAAGCTGAGGCAGGAGGATCGTTGCGAGTTCAAGACCAGCCTGGGCTACAGAGTGAGCTCAAGGCCAGCCTGACCTACACAGTGAGACCCTGTCTCAAAAAGACAAAATAAATAATGTACAAATATGTATTACATGCTTTTAGTTTGGCTGAAATAGATTTCCATATTGAAAATATATTGTAGCCAAGCATGGTGGCGCAGTTTAGTAAGCCTAGCACTTGGGAGGCTGAGGCAGGCAGATAACCACAAGTTTAAGGGCAGCCTGAACAGCATAGTGAGACCCTGAAAAACCGTGTGTGTGTGTGTGTGTGTGTGTGTGTGTGTATCTATATATAGATATAGATAGCCAGTGATGAACTGCTCTGTTTTTCTCTTTGAAATGAAATACGAAGTAAAAGTCAAAACTGAATTTTAACACCTATAACGCCAGCACTCAGAAAGCTGAAATGGGGGATCTCCAAGAGTTCGAGGCCAACCTGGGCTACATAGTGAATTCAAGGCCAGCCGGAGTTACATAGCGAGACCCTGTCTCAAAAGCAAACAGAAAATAACCCTGAGTTTTATATATGAATGAGAGCGGAAAGAAATATTTTTAAAGGTTTGATACGACTTTAAACTAAGTAAAAATGTTTTAGGTGCAAATTAATGTCACCATAGGTCTCATTGTATTTATAGATTAAAATGTCCAATATAAATAAAAATCTTAACCTTGGAATTGAGAAGCAAATAAGCCAATTAAGAATAAGAATATTTTATAGAATGAGGTATATTTGATACATTTAAAGATCATAAACCATGTACTTTTAATATATTTAGAAATGGATTGTGTCTAATAGTTTTTAAATTTTAACATTACAAATAAATGACCTAGAAGTTAGATATAAGATAAATTTAGAGATAGCACAGTATGAACATGTGTGTCAGGGAGTATCCATTAAGCTGTTTGCTCCCTCCTTGTATATTTTACTGTTTCTCTGTCCAGTTTCCCTTTTTCATATTTATACCTTATACTGTCAGTGAATAAAAGCATAGTTAGAAAAAATTAGTTGTCTGTTAAATTTACATGTCCATGAACTACCTCATTTGCTTTCTTCTAAATGGTAGGTTTTAAATCATTTTATTCTTGGTATGATTGTAACATTTATTGGATTTTTAAAATAGATGTTCTCATTTTCTTTAAAAAGATTGTATAAACACACATACATGTTTATGTAGGTGTATATTTCTGTCTGCATGTGCATACATGTATCTGTTTAAATCTTGCCCTGTTCTTTTAGATCTGAGATGCACAATAAAACAGTTAGTCAAAGATTCGGCCTGCTTCTGGAGTCCTATTGTCGGGCCTGTGGGATGTATCTGAAGCACCTGAATAGGCAAGTTGAGGCTATGGAAAAGCTCATTAACTTAACTGACATTCTGAAACAGGAGAAGAAGGATGAGACGCAAAAGGTGTGTGTCTGTTCGTTTGTGCGACTCTTCTCATTGCAGTGGGACAGGGTTGTTTCAGAGCCCAGTATTTATGCAGATTGTGGTTCTTGGATTCAGACAGATTACGAGTTGGAACCAGGTTCCACTGGCTTCCAGTGCAGCTATATAATGTCACATACATTGTTGCGCTCTTAGGATTCATTTTCCTTACCTGTAAAGATGACAGTAGTATTTTGACAATGCAGTTGTTGCGAGAACTAAATTATATGAACTGTGTGAAGTACCTAGCATAATCCCTAGAGTGTGAGAGGTGCCCGGTAAATATAAGTATCTGTACGTTCCTTTTTTTCTTTTTATAGAGCTCTTAAGCATTTAAAATGATTCTTTCCTTATTCATTATCTTAGTAATGACCCTGAAAAAAAGTGGAAAGAGATGAGCTTTTACATTTTTAAGTTCAAAATGGACTCAAAGCCCCTCAGTAAACGTGTCACACACTGTAATCATCTGCATTCTAGCCAAGCAGTATGAAATATAGTTTTTTCAAGACTTTTTCCCCATTCCCTTCCCTTGTTCAGTCTGATCTACCAGTCCTAAATTCAGCATACTCTAGAGTGAAAAGGAAGACCGTTTCTCACCCCAATGAAATGGGAGGGAAGAAATGCCAGTTTAGTAGTGAGTACTCCAAGGGCAGGAAACAGAAACTGCCAGCACTGAAGGGATTTTCCCATCATCTTCATTAATACTACTCAAAGGAAAAACCAACTTCAAAAGAAAACTGCTCTATTAATCTAAAAAAAAGTTGTTCCATTAATCTTAATATCATACAGTATGTGAATTGGTTTCATTGAAGTTGTGGTAAACAAATTCAAATATAGAATACTAGAAAAAAGTACTATTACTGATGCTGGAATTAATGGGTAAGAGGGCACTAGGCTGCTTCAAAAGAATAAAACTTATTACATTTGTAGTGTGAGCTAAGAAAAAAGAAATTAGGTATTAAATATATTTGTAAACAGGTGTGTATTTTGTGTAGTTTTTTCTATCACAGATTAGCTATGATAAAATGGCTTAATTAGCAACATGAAATTCATTACTTATGTCATTGTTGGTTTAAATGAGATTGTGATAAGGAACACAAAGGCAATTACTTTGAGTGATTTTGTATTTTATCATCATAATGATAAAGTGAAGCACTATGCTGACATTACAGTTGACAGTGATGAAAAAGTACCTTCACATGAGGAAGAGCTGCCTGGTCAGTGATGACTAGATTTCCTAGCTATTAACTTACATGAGTAAGACAAAGAAAGCTTCATTATAAAAAACTGTAGCATGAAAATTAATTTACTATGTATACCTAGTTTCTAACTTCTTTTTTTTAATACCACATTTTATACTTTTAATAGACTGAAGTTTCCTGTAATGAAATGCCAGCTGCTGCTTCGCAGCTCAGCAGTCTGCTCTCTGGCTTGAGTTCATTAGAAAGGGGTATTTGGCCATGCGTGGCAGCGCCCATTTGTAATCCCAGCATTGGGGAGGCTGAGGCAGGAGGGTCATCATGAGTTTGAGGCCAGCCTGGGCTGCATAGTGAGTTCAAGGCTTGCATGAACTTAATGGTGAGAGACCCTGTTGCAAAAGGAACTTCTTTGTGGCTGCAAATGAGAGACAGTATGATATCAGTGTAGCAAATATTTTTATATTTGTTTTCCCAACAGCTTCTTTTAGCCTTGTTATACCTTTTTTGCTCAACAGAGAGCATGCATAAGATGTTTTATGCAAAGCCGGGAAGCAAAAATATTAAACTAAGATAATATGGTCTCTTTAGTTTTTCCTGTAGAACAAGGATGAGCAATTGTTTCTTAAAGGGCTAAATGTAAATATTTTAGATTTTGTAGGCCATGTGGTCTTCACTATTCACCTCTGCTGTCTAGTGTGAAAGCAGCCAATATGTGATGAATAGGCATGGCTGTATTCTAAGGCAACTTGATTTACAGAAACTGACAGCTGACCTGCAAGCCAGGGTTCACCATCACTGGTCTAGAGACAGAGCATTGCTTCTGTCAACAGTCTTCTCACAGGAAGGTCCCTGCTGCCACTTCCTCTCTCTCTGCACTGGGCTGCTCTGTCTCATACAAGCCTCCTCCTTAGAACACAGCCAGTTCAAGGTGTGGTGCAGAGACTATGCAGCACTGAGTTTTCAGTGTGTAAGAGATTAGCAGTTAATGAAGTCGGTTTCTAACTTTGATTATGCCTTTTTATCAGGTACAGATGAAGTTTTTAGTTGAGCAAATGAGGCAACCAGATTTCATGGATGCACTGCAGGGTTTTCTGTCTCCTCTAAACCCTGCTCATCAGCTGGGAAATCTCAGGTAAGGTACTTTCTTAGAAGCTTTATTGTTATATTTTGAAGTACTTTGCTGTATAGAATCTTTTGAAGAATCGAAACATCCTGTATGATAGTCCAATTATCTGTGCTTCCCTTTCCCACTCTCCTACCGTGCAAAATAGGAATCAGAAAGGGTCTTAAATTAGAAATGCAAGCTGGGCGTGGTGGCGCATGCCTGTAATCCCAGCACTCGGGAGGCTGAGGCAGGAGGATCGTTGTGAGTTCGAGACCAGCCTGAGCTACAAAGTGAACTCAAGGCCAGCCTAAACTGCACAGCAAGACCCTGCCTCAAAAAAGACAAAAAAAAAAAAAAAAAATTAGAAATGCATTTATTCAGATTGAGTTTTTATTACTTTAATAAGGGTTTAAAACCTTCACTGGGTGGACTATTTGTGGCATGTATAAGAAATGGAGTATAATATATATTGTAGAAAATTCATGATTATATAAAGATGTTAAAGCTTAATATTTATTTATACAGTATTCCTTAGAAGTAAATTCATAGATAAAAATTGAGTGAAAAATTTTACAACACTTTTTTGATAGATACTAAGAAACAAGGAGATGGATCTTTTGCAAATGGGAAGGGGACCAAAATGCAGAAGGAGTGGAGGAAAGGGGGGAGTAGAAAGAATAAAGATGTGCTGTGTACATGTACAGCTTCTCACAGTAAATGTAATCATTGTGTACTGCAAACATACTAATAAAACATTTTTAAATATTTAAAATTTTATAACATGTTTAAAACTGTAAAGTAAATTTGAGGATAAAAGGAGTAACAAAGCTGAGGTGCCTAGTAAAGTTTCTAACTATTTTAAAGGCTTGAAGAGTGTCGAATTATGTCTTCTGCAAAAAGGCCACTGTGGTTGAATTGGGAGAACCCAGACATCATGTCAGAGTTACTGTTTCAGAACAATGAGATCATCTTTAAAAATGGGGATGGTAAGGAAGAGTACTAATGAGCTTATGATGTATGAATTTAGTTATCTTTTTATACACAGGATATTTATGAACCATGAAAACTGTTGAAAGCCATTTAAGGAACACACATTTGATAAAATGCAAACTATTAAGTAGATGTCTTAACCTTTGCAATACACATGTGAAGAAATTCAGGAAATGTGACCTCAAAATAAGAAATTTTGGTTTGCTGACGACTTTGAACTTTAGAACACTTGGAGAACGCAAGCAGGCAGGCTTTCTCTCATGTCTCCTCATCTGCCTAAAGGTGGATCTTCCAACACGACTCACATGTCATGAACCTAATCAACCAGGAAAGATCAACTGGAGGTTTGACTCCTAACAATTCTTAACCTTAACTTTGTTTCTTTTAACTGATTATACATGTGTAGGGGAGGAAAAAAACGTCTTCCCTCCACCCTTCTAGGTTTCTGGGCTGAGCTACAAATTAATTTGACCTAAGACAGACTAACCAAGAAGAACACCTATATTTAGTTATGTACTTATGCATGGGAGTCTCACAAAGTATAAAGCTCAAAGAAAAGTCAGATGATTAGACCTTATATAACATCTGAGTTACCAGAAAAAGTAAGGGCTTGGGGCTTTTGAAGGAGGATAATGATACAGTTATGGAAGGTAAGAAGAGCAAAGATAGGATGAATAAAGGTTGTCCTGATGTGCAGTTAAAAAACTCTCAATACAAAAGCTGTCTCGGAGCAGCCCTCAGAAGAAGTGATTAGTCTTTGTAGGCCTTGTGCGACCTTCAGTTGATCTCCCCTGCTTGAAGTGGCATTTCCTGAACTCCTGAATCAAGTCATGAAATTAGTTTCTGTTATTTGCTTAATTGTCATTTACATGAGTGGTGTGAGTATCCAGTCATTCCTTAAACGCTCTGTGTGCTGGATCCTTGGTTATAGTAATAAGCAAAACAGGATCCTTGCTCTCTTGGAGCTTACAGTCTAATAGGGAGAAAAAGGACATTAAACAAATAATTTAAAAACCAAAATTACATTCATGGTACGAAGAAAAAGTATAGTCTGCTAAGGAGCCATATAAAATGCTCTAATTTATGTGGAGAATAGACTGGAGGGGGGATAGGGTAAGAGCACCAGTGGCTTTCCATTAGGTAGGGACAACTCAGCAGGGACTTCCGTTGATCCGAGTACTTCAGCATAAACATGTTCAAATTTAAAGATTCAGCAAAACAGATACTTTCAGTATGCATAACACTTTTATGAATTATGCAGTCAGTTTTTATGCACAAGTTTTTGCCAATACTTTAGAAATGGGTTGAAAAAATCAAAACATTGCTGTCTTACTTGTTATTTTGAAGAGTAAATATAGCTCTATTTTTTTCCCACTTGAGAACAATGTGGTGGCTTGATCCCCTAATTTATATTGATAGTGTTAAGTGCTGATACATATTATTTGAATTTCAGATTTACGGCAAGATATGCTAACACTTCAGATTATTCGCATTATGGAAAATATCTGGCAAAATCAAGGTCTTGATCTTCGGTAGGTAATCAGTAAAGTAACTGACTTGAGGACAGTTAGACTGAAATAAAGCTATTAAATAATGATAAAAACATATAGAAACATAGATCTATAAAGAAATATATGTAGTGGTAATTATCAATTGATTGCAGGATGATAGTGTTCATTTGTCCTCTCACTTGGCTTAGCAGAGTTGATGAGATTTGAGCTCAGTAAGAAGAGGTATCTCTCTTTCGCTAGAGAGGATGGCAGTTGCCTCTGGAGTGTCAGCGTTAGGAATAGGACATGGGAGACACCAGTGTTACAAAGCTCTTTTTTTATTCAGAAGAGTTTAAAAGCGGGTCTTCCAACAGAAATGTTCTGATTCTGAAGCTTTATCCATCCTCTAATGTTAAATCAATTTTGCAGGAAAATTTATGAAAACAACTAAAATTATCAGTTTACTGGTTTCTGTGCAGCTTTCTACAGTAATCAGTGTGTATCACCTTAATTTTTCTGTCATGCTTCATCTTCTAGCAGTTCTCACTTCTAATAGTTTTTTCTTCTCTGACCTTCTCTTTGGAAATCCTAAGTGCTCTCTAAAGGTACCTTTGTCTGTAAGTGGGGATGAGTGGAGTCCTCCTGCAGCAGTGAGGTAGGTTAGGTAGAAATAGCAAGTGATACTACATTCAGGCTTACTTGTATGCCTTGTAAGAGGGTGGCAGTAGCTAGTATATGGGAAAGAATCCGTGACATAAAGTAGAACTCCCTTATTGCAAAGAAGAAAATGGATGTTTCGAGTAACAAAAGGCACGAAATTAAGTCACCAGTTTTAAATTCTTAATTCTGGATTCATTGCTTGATCTCTGCTGCTTTGCAGAGACAGTGTTCCTTTCTTCGTAGTACTTTCTGTGTCATGAGAGATCCGCATCCCACTAGCACCACCACTTCCAGAGGAGTTGCATGTAAAACGTATTGCAGAACTAGAAAGGGTAAAAGATTTAACTAAATAACTCATTTAATTATAAATTAGAGGTTGCAAACAAAAGTATCATAAGGAAATTCATTGGATATCAGTCTAAAATATTTTAAGTAAATTTAGTTTCATTTTAAGTAAATAGCATTTCATTTCAATAAAATCATATCAGTACTTTTATTTATCCTTGGCAGAAATGTAATTCAGGTTCAGGTTATTTATAACTGCTTGCTTTCTTATATGAGATTTATAGAAAAATTTGACTCTTTATGAAAGTACTCAACAAGAATAAAACAAAAAAATGAAATAAGAGAAAATGAGCTAGAATACAGGGCAGTTCCCAAGGCAGTTCAGGAAGAAATTCTATCAGAAAAATGGGCAAGGGTATAAGAGGCCCAGAGTAAGTGACTGCACAGAACCCAAAACCGGGGAGAGAGTCACAGTTTGTAATACCAAGCGCCCAAGAAAGTTTCAGAAAGCAAAGGCTATGGTTACTCATGGTTAGCTTTGAAAAGAATTTATACTAGAATAATAGGCATCGAAGCTAGGCTGTAGGAAATTAAAGAGAGAAAATGAAAATAAGTATATACTCTTTTAGGAACATCAGTAAAGGAAAGGTGGACAGAATGGACCATAACATGCGAACTCAAAGGAAGAAAAACCATACTTTGAGTACTTATGTGCAACTTGGATGCCTTTTTTTCCATTGTCATTTTGTCTTCATGTCTATCCTTAACTGTGTGTACTGTTTAATTTTTTTAACTTAATATTTGATGTAATAAAATAAGTACCTTAAAAAGTACTTCTGCTACGTTCCACAATATGATGATTATATTGAAGAAAAGTATTTATGGGATTCTCTGAGTTACACTTTTTTCATGGAATATCATTTTTATTTTAATAACAGACAAGCAGTAGTTATTCACACATGGGTATTTGGCAGACAGTTTCTTGAGGGAAAAAAAAAAAATGCGGTCTCTTCAAGGAAAACAGCTGTGGCAGTATTTGTTGCCAACAATAAAATTTGAGCTTTCCAGCAAAAATCAGAATTTTGAAAGACTTGTAACTGCCACTGAACTTAAAGACTTTTCTGATGAAACTGGTGATAATATTAGTAATTGCAACTTTTTATTATGGTAAGAGGAAAATACAGATTGGCTACAAAAGCATATATGAAGCCGGGCATGGTGACACATGCCTATAATTACAGCACTTGGGAGGCTAAGGCAGGAGGATCACTGCAAGTTCAAGGCCAGTCTGGGCTACATAGTTCAAGGCCAGCCTGTACTACATAATGAGACCCTGTCTCAAAAAGTCCAAAAAGAAAAAAAGCATATATGAAAATCCAAATGGCTATAAAATTAGACATTAGAAATTTTTGAAGATATATGAGTCATTCTCATTAAATGATTTTTATAAAAGTCCTACAACCAAAAATTTGAGAACTGCTGCCCTAAAGTTTCATTTAGATGTCAATGAAGCGTGCTTAAATTCATCTGTATTGTTGAAGTCATAGTGTTTATATTTTTATTGTTGTAATTTTCTTAATGCTTTTCAGACATACAATTAAAAGTTACAATAAGTGGTAGATAATTTTGAGGATTTTTCTAAGGATTGGTTTGTCACATTTTAGAAAAGAAAATTAGCTTAAGACAGAAAAGGTCAGGCATGACCAACTTACAAATAGAATATTCATGTTTTAGCTGATAAAAAAAAAGTGTTTTAAAATTCCGCCACTGTAGCTGTGTTGCTCCTCTTTCAGAATGCTGCCTTATGGTTGTCTCTCCATCGGTGACTGTGTCGGACTTATTGAGGTGGTGAGAAATTCTCACACTATCATGCAGATTCAGTGTAAAGGTGGCCTGAAAGGTGCACTGCAGTTCAATAGCCACACACTGCATCAGTGGCTCAAAGACAAAAACAAAGGAGAAATGTGAGTTCATGAGTCTGTCTTCCTGTAAGTTTTGCTAGATGAGTCAGATTGTGGTTGAGTATAAGCCAGAAAAAATAATTGTACTCACGCTGGAAAAGCATATTCTCAACTTCTGAAATGTTTGAGGTTATGTTTAAATGATCAGAATTGCTTAAATTTGATAAAATTATATATGTTCAACGTATATATCTAAAATGTTCTTACTGCTTATTTTTCAAAAAAATTTACATTCAAACTTTTAATTCTTCAATAAAATTATTAGTTTTTGTTTTTTTTTTTAAGCACTGAAGGTAGAATGCAGGGTCTTTCTACTGAACAATATCCCCAGCCCTTTTTTATTTTAAAATAGGACCTTGCTAAGTCCTCCTGCCTTAGCAGCCCAGAGTGCTGAGATGACAGTTATGCACCACCATACCAAACTGAAAACAAATACTAATTTTAATGATCAGAGTATTTTTCTACTGTGACAAGAATCATGCTTTGGTCAAGGAGAATCTGGAAATTTCCTTCGAAACCCTTGACAACCTAAGAATCTCAAAATTCCTCAGGTTTTCTGACATAATTACTTCCTACTCTGTTGTGATTATTTTCACAGTTTTAAGAGAAACTTCACCCAGTTTGGCCTAGATCACTCTGTTTTTCCACACTGCTGATGAGGTGCTTATTTCTTCATTGTAGATACGATGCAGCCATTGACCTGTTCACACGTTCATGTGCTGGATACTGCGTGGCTACCTTCATTTTGGGAATTGGAGACCGACACAATAGTAACATCATGGTGAAAGATGATGGACAAGTAATGGCTTTTTCTTTCTAAAATGTGTTGGTGTTCCTAAATTTACTAATTGAAGGAATTTTATATTTGTGTGTGTCAAGCTGTAACACAATTTCTTATTTTTAAAAGCTGTTTCATATAGATTTTGGACACTTTTTGGATCACAAGAAGAAAAAATTTGGTTATAAACGAGAACGTGTGCCATTCGTTTTGACACAAGATTTCTTAATAGTGATAAGTAAAGGGGCCCAGGAGTGTACAAAGACCAGGGAGTTTGAAAGGTAAGCTCGGAAATCAAAGTACAAAATAAAGAGTTCTTGCTGTAATGTCAGAAACAATTGATATTTTTTGAGCAGTTTAAAATAATAGGTGTTATTTAGCAAAAAGACAGTGTTTTAGTTTTTATATTTAATTATTTTAAGGAAAATGGGAATAAAGACTAGTTATTGAGTTCATAATTAAGGCCTAAAAAGTAGTCCTTAAGCTTAATAACACAGTTTTTTATTTACTGCTCTTCAGATAATTAGACTCTGCCTTCTCTGTCTTCACAAATAATGTATAATGCTTAAAACATTTTATAGTTATTTAACTTGAAGAAAGGCAACCAACTATAATTACCAGGCTTATTCATAGTTTTCCTTATTACTTTACATTATTGATCTATCTTAAAACTTGAAGTACTTTCATAAAAGTCTGTTCTATCTATAACTCAGTCTTCTGACTGTAGCTGAAACCCTGAAGGCTTTAATATGGACCAAGCCATATATTTAATAAATACTTACTAAATTCCTGATGTGTCAGACATGTGCTTGTGATAAAGCAAAAGAAAAGTCTCTTAACGGAGCTTGCATTCAGGTGGGGTCGAGGAAATAGAGGTGTGTTGGCTAGGGAAGTGGGGAGAGAGTAGTGCTACCTTTTTTATAGCCTTGTCCAAGTAAGCCTCTGAATTGTGTGACATTCAAGCAGAGACCTAAAGGTGTCAGTGCCATTTGCTCTATACTGACCAAACCATTCTTGCTACTTACAGGTTTCAGGAGATGTGTTACAAGGCGTATCTAGCTATTCGGCAGCATGCCAATCTCTTCATAAATCTTTTCTCAATGATGCTTGGCTCTGGAATGCCAGAACTACAATCTTTTGATGACATTGCATATATTCGAAAGACCCTAGCCTTAGATAAAACTGAGCAAGAGGCTTTGGAGTATTTCATGAAACAAATGAACGATGCACACCATGGTGGCTGGACAACAAAAATGGATTGGATCTTCCACACAATTAAGCAGCATGCATTGAACTGAAATGATAAGTGAGAAACTGAAAGCCCAATGTCTGGATTTTACACTGCACTGTTAATAACTGACAGCAGGCAAAGACTGATTGCATAGGAATTGCACAATCCATGAGCAGCATTAGAACTCACAGCAAGAAACAGAAATAAAATACTCCATAATTTAAATAATGTAAATGCAAACAGGGTTTGATAGCACTAAACTAGTTCATTTCAAAGTTAAGCTTTAGAATAATGCGCAATTTCATGTTATGCCTTAAGTCCAAAAAAAAAAGGTAAACTTTGAAGATTGTTTGTATCTTTTTTTAAAAAACAAAACAAAACAAAACCCCCCGAAACATATAGCAGTGATGGAGAAGGAAAAAGAATGACGTTCTATGTGTCCTGCAAATGTTTTATGTTTTGAAATGTGGATACAACTAAGGCTGTTACTGCATTAGGTGTACGTAAATGAGTTTATGTTAAATTACATAAGATTGGAAAAGAATGAAAATTTTTTATTTTCCCATTGCTGTTCAATTTACAGTTTGAAGTGGGTTTTTTGATTCCTTGTTTAATGAAGAAAAATTCTTTGGGTGGAAGGGACTCTTGTGATTTCACCAGAGACTTTTTCTTTTTAATAAATCAAATCTTTTGATTATATGGGGTCTTATCTGCAAATTTTAGAAGCAGTCACAAATGAGACCTGTTATACCATGGTGTTTTTGTTGGACCTTTTTGTTGTTGGTTTGTTGCTGTTATTGTTTTCTGACAGTATTGACAAGATCTGACTCTTATTTTCTAGGGAAATTCTGGGCTCCCACAAACTAAAATAATCATCTTAGAAAAAAGAATGAGCAAGAATAGTTCTTGTTCCAGAACTGTACAGTATTCACCTTAATTATTCACCTTGGTTTTTTTTCTCCTTTTGCAATTGAACTGAATACATTTTTTCATGCATGTTTTCCAGAAAATAGAAGTGAGTATTAATGTTATTAAAAAGATTATTTTTTTTATTAAAGGCTATTTATATTATAGAAACTATCATTAATATATATTCTTTATTTACATAATCTGTCCCATAGTCATGCATTGTTTTGCACCCAAATTTTTTATTGTTTGTAGCAGCATGATTACCCTTCCTCTTGGTCTATAGGTGAGGCTTGAGCACCATCCCATTTATACCAGTACCAAGGTATAACTACTACAGAAAGCAGATTGAACTTCGCCCTCTTTTCCTTTCTTTTTATTTTCACATGGTTCCCTTATCTTCCATCCTCTTTTAGTTGGAATGACTCAATCATGTGAAATTAGCTACCAAATTACACAATTTAGAATATCATCCTGACTGCTTAAACCCCCTCAACTGAGATCTGCTCAGGAATAATAGTACTTTATAATACTGGAGAACAGAAACCATGAACTTTTTACTTTTTAAAGCTATTTATCCACATTTCAATATTAAAAGTAGGAAATGAAATCATTTTCAGATCATATCCCATTTCCCAAGTGGCCAGGTCTCATTCCAACTTCTTTAAATCCCATTTGAGAACAGAACACATTCTTAAACATTTTGAAAAATATTCACCCAAGATGTAGGAGCTAATGCTAGTCATCATTCTAGGGTCTGATATTCTATTCAGTATTTGAAGTGAATGACCCATGTTCTAAGAAGTAGCTTTAGCAAATTCCCAGGTGCCACACCAAAAAAGAAAAAAGTGCAATAATTTACTGACAGTTTTCTAGATTAGGCATATTATTGGAGAACAGCTTTATAAAGAGTACACATTGTATAATCTAGTATAACAGCATCTCTTTAAAAATATTCACCTATGAAATCAGATACCTATAGAAGTCTTGAATAGTGAACAAGGGACTCTAATACAATACTCTTAATATCTGGCTATTTTAGAACCCTGAAAGGGCATAGTTTGTGAAGATTTAGATACTTCATTAAAGCATGTATATAATGCCAACATGAAAAAAAATTGAAGATTAGGGGCACTTATTTCTGTGAACAGTCTTGAAATAGTTATGCAGAATTTAATCTCATGTTTTAAGTTGGAAACCAGATTGATTTTTCTGCAAATAGCAGTTTCATTTTTTAAAAAAATTAACATTTTGTGTTATTTAGATATATGCAGTATACTAACATCCCAGCCTTTTCTTCATCAGGGATTGATTATGAGAAAACTCAGTGAAATGGTACAAATCTGAAACTCTGATGGTGGAAACTGAAGAAGTAATAGAGAACTGCGTTTTACTCGAGTGCCAAAAAAGCCTTGAGCCTCCGTGCACAAAATCTGTACAGTTTTCGCACTTTTTTCACATCAGCTCAGGTAGTTGGCCACTTTCTGTTACCCCAGGACCTCTTCACCATTAAAACACACAAGCCACATAGCTGATTTCATTACTTACGTTTATTTTTAAGTTATTACAACCAAATTAATTTGATTTAGAGAATAAAAAATATAGATTAAGTGACCTAAGAAACAAAGGAGGACAGGTAATGTTCAGAAAGGCAAAGACCAAAAATTGAGTGGAAAGCTACACAGGGATGACTAAGATCTGTTTCAAGTCTGTGATGATACAGCCACTTCCAGGTACTTGCGTATCGGAGGTCAGTTGCTATAGCTGACCACGTTTGTCATCAACCATGATGTAATTGACTATTGGCTCTATAGTTTCATTACTTGAGAAACATTCCTTCAGTAATTAGTTTGGAGGGAAAAATCATATCTAAAGAAAAAAGCCTAGCTTTAAATACAGTGTAGCAAGAAATAGTCAACTGTTTGAAAATCATACTTTTTACCATATTCTCAGCTATATGAAAACATTTATTTTGCATATTTCTAGACTCCTGTTAATTTGAAATCTGTTAATATGATTGTGGAATTTGGTTTTTTTAAAAAAAGATGTTTCTAATTGGATTTTTTAAAAGAAGAATGGAATTTGGTTGGTATTTTATGATAGAACCTAAGCTTTTTCTGGTTCTGAGTGTCCTGTGTAAAACTTAGTGTCAGAGTAATTAAGGTTTTCCCTTTATTCTACTTTATATTACAATCCCATTAGGAAATGGGAAACTGGTGAATATATAATGAATTGTAAAATATTTTAATGTGTAACTTTCAACTGTGAAACTATGACTATTGGTATTTTGATGAAAACAGCTGCTGATAAAGTATTTTGTGTAAAGTGTAGTTCTTATTAATCAGAAAATGATGGTTTGATTAGATTGTGTATACCCTCTTGGATTTTATTTTAAATGGGTGGATTTTTGCATAGAGTAAAATACAGTCCATCTGTGTTCTTTTTCTATCAAAATATGACTGATTTGGCATTATTAAAAAAAATTGCAAGTAGCCTGTCTTAAAGGCATGATGGAAATTTCACAGCACATAAACTCGGATTTGTTTTTTTACATAAATGATTTTGTAAATCCATTTAATTTATATTTTGATCAATAGCCCATGCTTTCCCATTCTTGGAAGAAATTTAATTTCTAGCAATTTGTTCAAGCTAGTTTGAGAACTTTTCCTGAATGCTGTAAGTTCCTTTTCTGTGTCTATGCAAACTGTAAACCTGGGCTGGACCCACAGACTTGAAGTCCACCTTAAAAATTATTTTGATGTCCAAGGTACCGCTAAAGTAATTCCGTTTTAAAACAGTATATGGTGTTAATGGTGGTGCTTCTATTTAAGACAACTTTCATACTTCAGATGTTTTTGAATTAAGGGAGTGTGAAGGGAGGGGAGAGAACAGGGAGGAGTTGTTTAAATAAATTGCATTCTTTATATCCATCCTTCTCATATGGGGCATGTCTAGGAGAAGGCTGGAAAGTGTGGAAATACATTGTGCATACCAGGAGGCAAAGAACTCTTCATCGAGGATGGTTGTGAAGGCTGAACTATAAAACTCAGTGCTGACAGCATCCTCAAATAATAATTCTGGATGAAAGGATATTACAGCTGAGCTGTTTTTTTTTTTTTTTAAGTACAAACAAAGCCATTTTAATTAATACATTAAAATTGTAAATATATCTCATGTGCCATGATCTGGGAAGGTTGTTTTCTTTTGTCATAAAAATTATTTCCACCCTCTGAAAAGACTATACTCAAGGTAAATATGGTCCCAATAACATTGGCTTGGTCACTGTACCTCAGAAGATTAGAGCAGGGAAAACAGATGAGTTACAATTCAGTACTTCAGGCTCTTACATTACAGAAATTTTTCACAGCACTGTATTTTGGATTTACAAAGTCAGAGTGGGCATATCCTTTCAATGGTGCTGGAGACATTATTACAATTTTTTGGCTGAAATTTACTCATTGCTAGAGCCCTTTGGAGAAGGTTGTAGTGTAGTGTGAGGAAGTTCATAGCACTAGCATTTAAAGTCCATTTCGTTCCCTATTAGTGTTCGCTATTAGTGTGTTTTGTGTGTTTCTACATACATTTCTATTTGTGCACATATTGCAAGCTCTAGTCAAGAGGAGTCTTTTATAAAAGGGTAAGCAAATATTAAAGTTCTAAAATTCAGAAGAGTTTAGAATTCATCCAGAGTCTCCCAAGTTGGGATGTTAGTCTTTAAATAAAACTTATTTATTTCATTCAAGTGTTCCACTTGATTAAAGTTTTGCACTTCCTTTTTATTAGTGCGGCACTATTCCTTTCACTTAGTTTTAGGTGTGTTAATAGTTTAGCCACATTAGTTAGCAGAAAGTGGCAGGTGTGAGCCATAAGGATATTTTCTGATTTGTAATTTTTACACAACTACATATGAGTTTTAGGGCGGGATGGGGGTAAAAATTAGTTTCTTGTATGTATTATAGTATAGTTCCGTGTAATTGAATTTTCATTGCGAACTAAATCCATTCTTCATGTTGGTAAGTACAGAAAAAGCTTTTAGATACATGTTGTAAGCCAAGTGAAGTCCAGCAATCTGCAGTCTCATTTAATCTGTCACTGCAATAACTTTGTGACAAAACCATGTATACTTTTAGGTATTCTTATTTTTGTTGCTCCTTCTAGGTTGGCAAGGAGACAAAAACCCTTCAGTGTTTCACATTATTTTAATACAACTAAACTTCTTAATTCTTGTATGAATTTCTAAGTGTGGTCATCATCTATTGATTTCATTTTTAAAAAGTCCCTTACCAGATTTAATTTATTTTCTAAGAGTAGTTGGAGAACTTGGCATTTATCAGATTTCTAGAAATTTTTTTGGCTATGGAGCTGAGCTGGAGCTGACATTTTGTATGTAGTTTAATGGTTTCAGTGTGATTCAGTCTTCAGACTTAATTTGGTTAAATAAAATCCAAAAGAAATACCCTTTGGTACCTAACACCTTCACATCCTGGGGAATGTAATGCTACCAAAAGACTGCTGACATATCAACTGTTTATTTTAGAAGCTTCAAGGAGTGCTAATCACGGTTTTCTTTAGCCCCATTAATTGTAGCAAGTCTGTTTCTCTATATTCTGCTCATTCAATGAATTGAAGTCCTGCGGTATAGTGCATTAGTTAAGAAAAAAATGTTTTTGATATCTTCTTTATGATGGCCCAAAAAGTATTTGACACAGCAAGATGCATGTGTTACTATATTGAGAATATAGAATAGCACTAAATTTAAGATTCGCAGCCCTGCTATTCCTAGCGAGAAGTTTGGCCTGTGACTGCACTTATGTTTGTTTGTGCTCATTAGAACCTGTCAATGTCTGCTTTCCTTTAACTTTGCAGTCTGTAACATCACGCTGTTTATTAAAAAAAAATTACCCTGACTTGTGTCCAGACGATCCTTAGTGTATTATGTAAACAAAAAGCTGTGATCGTTCTATTTTGCCATGTCTAGAGAAGCAAACTAGTATTGCTAATAATCAAAATTTAACTGAATTTGAGTTCTTTTCAATAAGGACTAAGAATACTTGTTTGAAAACCTAGAACAATTATGTCTTAAAAGCCAGTTTTGCTGCCCTGGTAAAATAATGAATATTAGAGAAATGTATGTTTAGATACTAACTTCTTTTAAGCATAAAGAATTATACACTTGTATTTTAAGCAGAGATTATATGTATGTCTGTATATATGCATATAAGTACATAGTATTCTTTTTTCAAGTCAGATGAAGGCCAAAGCATAAAAAGGAAGTTAGGCTAGATGCAAACTAATTTTGCTTTCAGTTATCATTAAACATTGCTAAAGGTAAGTCTGGACCTTTCTTTGACCAGTAATTCACATTGGCTTTGATACTTAGTGCTTCTGAGCATTTAAGCATATCATCGGTTAAATGTTATTGATATGCCAAAGATTTGAACTTTAAATTGACATTGTTCCCTGAGTATAATTTCTTTTCTGAGATAGACCAAGTAGCCACTATCTGAAAATTGAAAGCAATTGCAGCATATACTTCAGCTTGCATTTGTTAGGAGAAAAGTCACATTGCTAAGATACACTAAGAAATAGAAATGTGCCCTTAATTTAAGAAACTACAGAATCTCCACTTGCAGAATGATTTAAAATATACATGCATACATATATTTTATTACAGGAAAATCTTTAGCATACGAAATAATTCACTACAACATGTAGTAAATCACTACAGCAAATTCTGAGCCATAAATGTATATCACATTTAGCCGAGAGCATTGCGGGGGAGCAGAGTGTGCTCTTCCACCGCCCTATCCCAGGCTCCCTACCTGCTGGTTTCTGTGAAAAGTTCCAAAGCTGACCGCTGCAGCTCTGCGCAAGATTTTTTTTAAGCTACTAGAATTTTTGAGCACCTCTACTAGAAATCAGAAACTAACGTAGGTGTTTCATTTACCCCACCTTGTGCTTTAAAATAATTGAAGAAGAGACTATCCCCATGGTATAGATAAGAAAAGAGAGGTTTTGACAGGTTAGCTGATTTGCCCAAGGGTGTGTGTCTAAAAACTTGTAATTATGGCCTACAAATTAAAATGAATCTGCTTTGAGATGTGCTCTTTGCACACTAGAAAGAGTGGGAGACCAATGTTGTTCATAACTGGTCAGTATTGTTCTACTTAATATTCAGTTTACTAATTTATGGTTTGAAATTAATTACTAAAAGACATTAGTCTGACTTAGAATCAAAATTTGTCATTTGACTATCTCTACATGATTATGACTACTTCAAAAGTCATTGCATTGTCCAAGTTGTTTTTGTTTTTGTTTTCTGGTACTAGAGAGGGAACCCATGGTGTTCAATGTGAGCTGCATCCCCAGCCTGCCTGCATGTGTGTATTTGCTCATTCTTTTTGAGATGGAGTCTTGCTGAGTTGCCCATGCTTGACTCAGAACTCATGATTTTCCTATCTTAAGCTCCCAGATCCCTGGGATTACACACAAACACCACTGTGCCCAGCTTCTTCGTAAAAATTTTAAGATACTGAGGTACATTGGAAAATGAGAACAAACTGTTTTCAACTCATATTTTCAGCTTAATCTGAAAAGTACTTGTTGGGTCTTGTAACAACATTTAATAACCACAGTTGATTCATTCATTAAAGTACAGACAATTTTTGACCGTCCATTGGACTATTCTATAATGCAGATTCTCTGAAGTCCATATTGAAATCCCGTACAGCTTTTCCTTACTTCACATTTCTAATCAGTGCTTCTACTCCTACCAGAATGTGCACAGAATGAAGTGAGCTTGTGAAAAGCATAATTAATGAGAAAAATATTGAGAGAAAAATGACATGGCCCATGGCAAAGCTAATTACACATCACTACAAATTTGCTGAATTTTCTAGGCAGCGGCTTTTCTCTTTTATTATGAATGGCGAAGAAAGAACAAACTAATAAATGTGCTAGGTCTACATTTTCTTAAATGTTCTAATTGTTACGTTCTTGTAATAATTGTTCTTTACTAAGGACTTGCTTCATGAGAAGCGTTTTCACGTTCCATCTACCGCCTACAGTTAGGCTGCTAGTTGAGTGCTCAGCAGGGTAGATACCTTTATCATCATTGGTTTTCGTGCTGACAGGTTCTAGCTAGAGCTAAAATTAAACCAGTAACTACCTTGAGCTCATCTTGCCTGTGGGGTGGCTTGTGTTGAATGAGATTTGGAATAGAAAAGATGGTACCTGAGTTTGTACATATTTGTAGAATACAGAAAGAGGCTTATAAAAAATGTTTCCCAGGGCCAGGGATAAAGCTCAGTGGCACAACACCTGCCTGGTAAGCACGAGGTCCTGAGTTTGATTCCTGGTACCAAAAATGAAATAAAAAGTTTCCCACATGAAAATATGATAATAACATTACTCTTTATATGGCTAGTTTGCAAGCAGGCATAATTAGGTTTCCCACTGCAGAAATTACAGTGTCCGAGGCCAGCACCTTGATTTGGCCATTATCTTAAGATTTCTCTGTTTCTCCCTTTGCTCTTGTCCGCACTCCGCGGTTTGTACCGATGCTGTCCCATAGAGGGTACTTTGCCACCTGCTTCATCTCTGACTGTGGTGCTGTATTTTTCACAGAGTAAGGACAAGTACTGTGTCAGTCTCACCATGCCAACAATCAGGGCACCACCTAGCAGAGTCAGTGAAGGCCAAAATAAACAGTGAAAGATGACCATTGGGTCGTATTTTTTTATAAGAATGACTTCTTCAGATTGGCCGTCTGGGCTGTAGAAGCATGAGAAAGAAGTTCCATTTTTGTGATCGAAGAATTCCTTTATGTCCAGAACACTGCTGAGTAAATCGTTCCTATCTCGGTGGCACTTTGGTGTGTAAAAGCACTAGGAATGTGGAGGAGGAGAGAGATGAGGGCATTGTCACCAGTATCAAGCACTTCACAGTTTTAATTCTGACTGAAATAGCTTCAGCCTCAGGCTAGTAGAGGGAAGTTTCAATCTTAGGAGGGCAAATATTACGTAGCACATGAGGAAGATTGGCAGGAGGGCATAGGGTGAAATGGCCACTTCTAGGTACTAAGCTAAAAGCTTGAGGTCTAGTACCATATCCATTAAGCACTTGCAGAGCAATGTTAAAAGTGCTACAGAAGTGTTGGAGACCTTAAACATCATTTCCTCCAAAACAGCAAATCATCACACTGAACTTAGAAGACATCGAAGTGCAGTGTCATTTAATACAACTGTCATAGTTAACTATAAATCTTATCAGTTGTATAACAAAATCAAATACAATAATTATTTAAACTTAATTAGACAAAATCGCTTGATTGAAGCTAGACTGTTAAGTACATTTTTTAACATGTTTGATATGCTAGCGAGTGGGACCTCTGAAATTAAGACTGCACCCTAATAGCTCTGCTCATTCCCTGAACCTACAAATTGTACCCACCAAATTGTGAAACTAGAGTAATGCCTTTTATTTCTGTATAGTCCTGTCCCCCTAGAAGAATGCTTCTGCTTTTCTTTATCATGTCTTAACCACTATAAAGATATTCACTAAACAAAAACATTGATCCTTAGAGATATCCTTGAGTTCTGCACCTGTTGAGGACAGTCTGCCACAGAAGGGTTGTTGCAGTAAAAACTTTTTAATTACGTGAACTTAAATTACCTTGGAATTTAACTGGACAGCCTCTTCATTATAGTGTAGGAGAGCTTTCTGACCTGAGTGAGTGAGGTTCACAAACACCTGAAGACATGGATACTTCGCGTGACCTCGGCAATCCATGCCACAGGTGAAAGCACAGTCCAGCGAGTCATCCGTGATATGTGTGTGGATGGTCGTGCAGTTGGATTCTTCTCTCTGTGTGCTACAACATGGAAAAATACACGTTCTTCAGCTACTAGAGAGTTTACTTCTACAGTCCTAATGTCATAGCCCAAGCATTTGTCTGTTTTAAGGTAGTGATGTGGAACCGTTAGCAGAATCACATAATGATCATGGAGGACATAATGATCATGGAGGACATAGAGATGAGATAAAGAGCTGTAAGCTGCCATGTCTTGTCTGATTCTACTGGCATAAAGTCAGGATCTACATCCTGTTCATCTTTATGGTCCTCAATACATAAGCACAGCTCCATAAGTGTTATACTGAATTAAACTTTACTAAGAAAACTATTTGAGAACGTGTACATGGACTTCATATACAGAATGTATGTAGAAGTGGTAGGCAAAGTTCTTGCCATACAACTTCGTGATGGTATTGAGAAAGGACATGTACGTAGGAAATAATTAGAAAACAAGTCCAAGATAAAGTAAATGAAGGTGAGAGGAAATCCTGAGATCGAATTTTCGAGATGAGTGCCTCATATTGCTCACACTCCCATCTCCGTGGGTCTGTGTTTATTTCTTCTTGCCGTAGACGAGTTTAACTAGCAAGCTTTAAAGTCAGAATCTTGAAAAGATTGTTTAGCTAGATTCATACCCTACTCATTAAGATCATTGGCCATAAAAGATAATTTTTCTTTATTAATATAATAATATACGAGACCACTATGCATTGTAACCTGACCTCAAAGCCTAGGACAGAAAAAGTTGCTGGAGGTGGAGCTCAAGACATGTGAACGTGGGAGCGGTGTCAGAGTGCTGTGAGGTGAGGATGGGAGTGACTCAGCCTGCTGTTTCCAGCTTCGAAGATGAGGACCTCAGACCGCAGGAGCCAAGGTACCCAGGCAGCATCCAGCATGTAGACACAGAGAGAAACATACTGTCCCAGAAATTCTTCCCAGAAACAGATTTCTCCTCTAGAAAGGAATGTCTCTAGAAATTTCCCCTGGGATCATAACAGTGGCACTATGTGTTGCAGAATATGGTGACCTCTACATTTCTTCTCTAATACTGGTAACTCGGGAATGGCAGGAAAGGAACCTGAAAAAAACAAAAAAAATCTGGGCATAATTGGCGCATCCCAGGAATCCCAGCACTTGGGAGTCTGAGGCAGGAAGATTATTGAGTTTTAGACCAGCCGAGGCTACGTAGTTCAAAGCCAGCTGAACATAGTGAGACCCTGTCTCGAAAATGAGTAAGTAAATGAAAAATAACAAAAAGACTAATCACTTCCTCTTTATGACCCTTTTCCCTGGGAGGTTGACGTCTCAAAGGGAGCATTTATGAGCTGCATGGTCATCTAGTTTGTGGGTTATGTGTTGAGACAGATGTGGATTACGCGACTAGAGGGCCGGGAGTGAAGGAGTATCTTCCACTTTCTTACCACTCTGTTCTGCACCTCCAGCTGCTTCCCACCGCAGCCAGAGGAACAGGGGATTGCATCTTCCTAACCTAGACCACTGTCAGAGAGCCGACTCTGGAGAAACCAAAGGGAGCTCCCCTCCTTTATCCGTGGGCCCAGGTTGGACCCTCTGGAATTGGAAGCTCTGGATCTTGTGTCCCTGCTTCTTACCTGAGCATGAAAGGCTTTAGGATCTTTGTGCCAAGCAGGAAGAACATTAGGACCGAGAAACCCATCATCACAAACCCCAGCAGCATGGCTCTGTCCTCCCCAGCACTGGACGGCAACTTCCTGTGCACATCTGGTGGATCTCCATCACTGTAGTCTCTATGCCTCTTCTTCCCAGGGGTAGAAAAGGCTGTCCTGGGGAAGTGGGGGGGATGCCATAATGAGCTCATAAAGATGAGGCAACATGGGCAAGCGTGATGCTTCATGCCTATAATCCCTCCTGGCCTTCTGGGAGGCTGGGGCAGAGGATCCCAAAGCCATCCTAAATAATGTAACAATGAAAGGGTGGAAATGTAGCTAGTTCAGGGTGAAAGCCTTGGGTTCATTCCCCAGTACCCACAAAAAATAAAAGAAGCAACATTTATCAACGCAAGGAATCAAGCAATAATCACGTTTGCTGTCCTGAAGGCGGTGAATAAGTTCCGAGCAACATCTCAAGATCCCACCTGCAGAACCTGCTGAGAAGTCGAAGTTAACATGCTGTGTTGTCACATTTGAAGGATAGGATCACAAGGCTAAGGAACGTTGCCTCGTGAAGTCTTTAAAAACCTGATTAATGAAGAACTAAAAAAAAATGGCTATAAGTAGCTTTCATTTCTTTTATGTAAATAAGTATTAAAAACTGATCTTTCAGGGATATCGTACTTCCTTTCTGAAAATATTCTCTACATTGTCCTGTGAATTCCATCTGGAAAAAAATGAAAGATGCCACATTTGGGGCGAACACATCCTGACCTAGGAATGTCAGTCTTGTTCTTCCACACCCACTGGCAAGGCAGCGGGCCCACCTGGGGCTTTCTGATCCCACACTGATGGAGATTTCAGTTCTGTCTCCTCTCCTGTCCCCTCCCGCCCGCCTCCGTCCCCTCATGCTCTGTGCGGATGTCCCTACATTTCTTCTCTCCCCTGCTCTGCCTGAAAACCCGCCCCAGTGCAGGTTCTTTCACCACGGGTGTCTATGGCAATGCATAGTTCGGTGGTGGCCCGTAAACAGTGCCCAGCCAGTGGACGTGTTTTGTTTGGCTTGCTGGTGAGATTATCGCTAGTACTTTCAAATCATCCTCCTAAAAATGCTGACTTCTAACCTGAAAAAAAAAAAAAAACAACTCCGAAATCCACATTCCTGCAGCTGCACCGCGGGCAGAGCCAAGCAGTGCTCCCGCTGTGGGTGCCGGTGTCGCTCCGTTTGCCACAGCCCCACCGCTTCCCAGGGCCAGTGCCACTGACTGGGTGTCCCCTGCTCTCCGCGTTGTTTCCCTTTTTAAAGACTTCATGCAGTCATAAGCCAAACAAGTGCATCTCCAATGTTACACACTCAGGCTCTATCAAGCCACCCAAAAAGCTTACTAAACTTTGAAGCCAAGCAAAAACCCTGTGAAGGGAATTGGCAGTTGTTCCTGGTTTTTCTTTTTTTTTTTTTTTTTTGGTACCAGGAATCGAACTGAGGACCTTGCACTTGCCAGGCAGGCACTTGTGCTGCTGAGCTATCTTCCTGGCCCCTGTTGCTGTTTTTTCTAAAAGCATGTTTCATACTTTGCCCCACACCGTTGCCGTTTCCTCCCTCCCTCTCCTGCAGCATCTTCAGACTCTGAAGAAAACGAGGCGAATAGCTGGTGAAGCAGGACAGCCCAGGAGCTGCCGCACTCCATGCCTAACACGACCGCGGCACTGACATTCTGCTTTGGGACATGCTCTTCTCCTTTGCTTCACTCACTCTCTGTCACCTCACCTCAGAGAATGGACATAGAGAAAAATTAATAAAACTTGACCCAGAGCGTTTTATGACTTGATACATACAGTGTATTGATTAAGGACAGTGTTACCCTTAAAGTAAGACTTGGGTGTTTTCTGTGGTCTCCAGTTCCCAACATCCTCCCTTTGCCCTTGTGCCCTGACGCTGAGCTGCAGTTGAGCTGCACTGTAAGGCATCCTGGAGGCTTACTGTAAGATATCCTTGGAACACAGGGTGAAGAAGCTTTAATGAGGTCTCTATGGCATTTCTGATGCATGCATTAAGTATTCCAATTATAATGGTATGCTACACAAAACCAGCACAACCTGTTAGATTCTGATCTGATTGAGGAATAAGACTAGCAGAACCCTAGACCAGACTTCCTGTTTCTAATATTTCTAAGGCTTTATGAAAACTTGATGTGGTGGTACACACCTGTAATCCCAGCACTTAGAAGGCTGAGGTGAGAGGATTCCAAATTTGAGGCCAGCCTGAGCTATACCATGAGTTCAAGCCCAGTCCTAGGATATATAACAAAACCCTGTCTAAAAAAGGAGAAGGAGGAAGTAGTTTCATGTTTTGGGGAAGGAAAATAATCATTAAAAGTTAACACAGATAAATTTTTACTATTGTAAAAGTGATAGGATGGTTTCAGCAGTATGGTGGGTTAGATACCCACGCCCACTGTAGACAGCTAAAAATTCTGGCTAAGACTGAAAGGAGTTTGGAAAACTCCAAGGATGAAAAGGACGTGAAAATGGGAACCCAAGGGGAAAGTAGACAGAGCCAAAGGTTTACCTTGAAGGCATTTTCAGAGCTTCACTCTGCAAGTTTGTATAGTCACAGGAAGAGGAGATGATGCCCAGGGCCTGTCCAAAGTATGGAATTTAATACACCATTCAGTTGGAGCTGGGACCGCAAAGTACCCAACTCTCAATACAAGGTTGATGTTGAATTAACACACACACACACACACACACACACACACACATCTATAGGAGAATATTTTTTTCAAAGGAAAATATTTTTTTCAAGGAAAATATTTTTTTCAAACTTTTAACAGTGAAAGAGGAGAGTGGGCATGGTGGCGCGCCCATAATCCCAGCACTTGGGAGGCTGAGGCTGGAAGATCACTACAAGTTCAAGGCCAGCCTAGGCTGCAAAATGATTTCAAGGCCAGCCTGAACTGCATAGTGAGACCTTGTCAAAAAAGACATTTTTTAAAAAAAGGAAAATTATAATCTCCCAAATTTGATAACCCAGTAAAAGATGATCCTCTGGAGAATTTGCAGTCTGAATTCCCTCTGCCTGGGTATATCCAGAAACCTCAAGCTAAGAGTTAGCCTAAAGTTGTCATAAGTCAGTAGTACCCTCTGCCACCCAATAGAAGTAAGCATATACCTTCTCTCCCACCGCAAAAGAAAACCATAACAGAAAAATCCAGATACTTGGGAAGAATAGAATATATGTAATATTCTTTTTTTTTTTTTTTTCCGGTACCGCGAATCGAACTCACGACTTTGTGCTTGCCAGGCGGGCACTGTGCCGCTGAGCTAAATCCCCAGCCCCTTATGTAATATTCTTAATAATTAAAAAATGAAGGATTGAAAATATCAGGAAGAGTAAAGGACTTTAAAATATGATCAAACTAATATTAAAAATTTAGCCAGACATGGTACATGTGTGTAATCCCAACACTCAGGAGGCTGAGACAGGAGGAAGGATTGCCGAGAGTTCAAAGCCAGCCTGGGTTGGTAAGGTTAAGGGAAGCCTGAACTGCATAGCAAAACCCTGACTGAAAAAATAAAACCAAATAGAATTTCTAGGTATGAAAAATTAGTTGAAAGTAAAAACTTAGTGGATAGATTTAACAGTCATTTAGATACATTTGAAAATGTAATAAACAGCTAGATCTGTAAAATAGCCTAAGTGGAATATCGACAGATTTTGAAATGGAAAATACTAAAGTGAGGTTAGGAAACGTGGAAGATAGATGGAAGATGTCCAGCATGGTATCTACTCAGAATTCCAAAGAGTAAGTTAGAAGCACTATGATAAAGAGAACATCAAACTTCAGAACTGACAAAGGACCCATCTGCAGATTCCAGAAGCCCTGTGTATAAAATAAAAAGAAATCTACACCTAGACAAATCCAGGTATATTTCATAGCCATAAAAACAACAAAGAGATCTTAGAAGCCAGAGAAAAAGATAGACTGACTTCAGAGAACTGACAAACTGAACACTTACTTCTGTCCAGCAAAACAGAAGTCAGAGCACTGTCATCGTGCCCGGAGAAAGTGACCACAGAATCCCATATCTGGCAAAATTCCCTCAAGTCTAAGTGTGAAATAAAGACACCTCAGACACACAAACAAAAACGAGTTTCCCCTCAATATACCTTAAAGGAAAAGGTCAAATGTTTTCTGTAGGCAGAGAGAAACCAATCCAGGTGGCACCTGAGAGTTAATCAGAAAGGAAGAGCAAATACAGGCGTGAGTAGGTAGGGACACTGCCTTTATGCAGTAGCAACAGTAATTATTCTTAGTACATTATACTGTCTGGGGGGGATTAAAACAAGATAAATGCATGACAGAAGCACACATTAGTGGGATAATAGTGCTGTGTATTCTAAATGGTTGGTAATTTCAAGGAAAGAGAAAGACATTGCTTTCAGTATTTCAACTCTGCATGCTAATTTGTGGATAGCCTATAAAAGTAGAAATAAGTTATGTAATTTCCAGAGTCAAAGAAAATTAGCAGGGCGTGGTGGTGCACACCTGTAATCCCAGCACTCAGGAGGCTGAGCCAGGAGGACCATTGAGAGTTCAAGACCCGTCTAGGCTACAAAGTGAGCTCAAGGCCAGCCTGAATTGTGTATCGAGACCCTGTCTCCTAAAGATGAAAAAAATAATAATAACAATAATAATCAAAGGGGGAAAATCCATACAAAAAAAGCAAAAAATAGGACAAATATCACAAAATAACATGATAGAATGATGTTACTGTATCAGTATATTAGAAATTACAGTAAATCTAAATTTAATGATCCAGTTTAAACACAAAGACAGTCTGACTAGATTTAAATATACATTTATATTGTTACAAAAGGTACATCTAAAACACACAAAGATTGGAATCTATAAGGCAAAGTATAACAAAAATCAATCTGAAAAGAACCTTAAAAAGTTTTTTTAGGAGTAAAGCAGTACAGTAACATTAACTAAAGCTTCAATTCCCCCAGAAGATAAAGTAATTCTAATTTGTCTAACCCTAATAGCAGTGCCTCACTGACAGAACTGTATGGAGGAATAGACAATGTCCAGGTCCGACTGAGATCTTTTTATGTATTCTTAGTAGCGGATAGGTCAATGAGACAGATCAGCAAAGAAAGAGACCTGAGCAGAGTAATTAATGGGTTTTATCTAAGTGATAAACTACTGCCCCCACAGAACACATACTCTTCTCAAGCAAAAATGGAACATTAACGACACCTGACCACAAACTTAGCCCTAAAGGAAGCCTCAACACATGTGCAAAGATTCATGAAAGTAATCTATGTGAATTGTATGAACCCTGGTAAATACGGAAGAGTCCAAGAAAGAGCCCAAAATCTCCCACAGTTCTACCACTTCAGGTTATTACTGTTTACTGTTCCCTTGTTAGGTTATTTTTTCTCTCTCTGTCTGTCTCTGTGTGTCTGTGTCTCTGTCTCAGTCTCTGTGTCTGTCTCTCTCTAACTCAAGATGATTCTCCTGCCTCAGCCTCCTGAGTGCTGAGATTATAGGCATGCACTACCATTCCCAGCTCTATATTGTTTTAAAAGCATGACACCTCACAGTAGCTTGGTGTTATACATTTTTCACTTAATTTGTCATGTCATTAACAATGCCTTGTAGCCTTTCTGTCAGCTACAAAATATTCCATCATGTGAACATGCCATCCCTGCCTCATGTTCTTACTATTGAATATTATTAGGTTACTTCCAGTTTTCTGAGATTGTCAACAGACCTGTAATGAACTTTATGTTGTTCACAAGCACTTTTCATCCAAGGACCTCAGAGCACTTAAAGTCATCTAATTTGCTCTCTGGTCAATGAAACAAATAAAGGGATTTTTATTCTTTTGGGCCAGTGACTCATCTCCACTTCTGACCAATGTCTTATCTTGAGACTTGTATCCCTATCAAGGCGGTATCCAACCTGCCCTGGCGACTTCACCGCAGATAGGACTGTCTTTATCACCAGACCCAAGCAAAACAGCACTTCAGGGACTTTCTGGCTCAGCCTGGGGCAATCTCAATTACAAGAGTTTGAACACATTCCTCTGGGTGTAGCCTCCCAGGAGCCAGCAGCCTTTCCATCCAACACTGACCCTTGTGCAAGGAGTTTTCTATAGGAACAAGCTGCGGCTCATCCAAGCTTCGTGATTCATCTGACACCTCGTTCACATATGTATGTGACCTCTCGGCGTGGGGCACATGAAGTTAATATTTCCCTGTAATTTGTTTGTGTTGCAGAGAAGATTGGGGCAATTATTTTTACCTTTCTGTTTTTTAATTACAAAATTATTTAACAACTTCTTTTGAAGCAGCGTGGTTCATCAAGTTCAGCCAGAGGAAAGAGCAATCACCCGCTGTGAGGTTCAGAAATGAAAATGAGATTCTGCACTGCCTTGGCAATGAACAGCTGCCTTGATATCTGGTTCATTATGATGTGAATGGGGCATTAAAGCTTGTTGGTGTCGTGTCTGCCGTTTGATCTCTTGCCATACTGTGATTCACCGTAATTATCTGTTCATAAAAGCATTAGTTCATTTCTAGGGGAGAGGAATCTCTTTTTCTTCTCTGTAGTTTCCCTTCCTTCCTGAATCCAAACCCCCGCATCTCACTCTCCTCCCGTGTCTTTTCCCAAATAGCTGTAAGTGTAAAGGCTAATGGAGGTGCATAAACATGATGACCACTATAATCTACCGTGTGCCCACCTTCTCAGCTCCTAACTCCCCTTGGGTCACTAAAGCATCCAGTTTCCACATAATGAGCAGACATGGCTGCAAAATGTACCCTGGATCATGAATATTCCAACGTGCTTTCCATCCTCAGGCATTGCTCCTCTCTGCTTTGGTGCCCATTTCTATGGCCTCACTACCTCAGCCCCAGGCCGGCAGCAGGGGCACCACTACACAAAAAAACCCTCGTCTCTTGCTTTGCATTCCCCAACAGACAAAGGAGTCCTAAAGATAATCTTACTCCCCGCTTTAAGGGGTACAGGTGGCTGGTCAATGGCAGTAACTGCCATGTGCACAGACCAGAATGATTTACTGGAAAGCGCCTAGAGACTCTTTCTACTTCTGTCTCACAGGTAGGAAAAAGATGAAACAGAGATAGGTTAAGTGACTTGCCCCGGGTCAGGCAGTTAAGTGGTGGAGCTGGGATCTGAACACAGCGCTGTGACTTGAACATTCTCTAAAGAAAATGAATGCTAGTGTAATTTCCTCATTCATTCAACTGAAAGATATAAACTTAGCACTAACTATGTGCTAGACCATGCTAGTGCTGAGATCCAGAACTTGTAACCTAGAGGAGGAATTCAATAAGAAAGCATGCAGCGCTGTGAGGTCGGAGCTGCTGGGGAAGCCTCCAGGTATACTGGGAGGAAGGCCAGCGGGCATCCTCAGAGCGCAGTGACAACTCAGCCTGCAGTCTTATTACGGCTCCCTTCCAACGACTTGTTCAGCAAGATGCTTATTACAGACCAAGAGGGTGGTGGTGACTTACCTCCCTTGGCGCCTCCGGCTGCCCTGGAGTGTAATTTGAACTGGGATGCTGAAGGGCTGCATGAGACCAAGGCTGGGCAAAAGGGGCTTCTCTCACCTGCATCATGCCCCGAAGGGCATCGGAGGGGAAGGCTTAAGCACCAACACAAGTGGCATCCCAGAGAGAGCCCCTGCCCCCAGCACAGCGACACCCATCAGAAACACTGGCGCATCTAGAACTGCCAGCCTGCTAGAATTTTCCAGGAGGTGGGAATTCGAGGCAGTCTGGCCCAGGTGGCTCCGGAATAGATTCCTGGCCAAGTGGATCAGCCCGTCACAAACGCTCAAGAACTGTGTGGTCTTTCTGGAGCCAAAGCTTCTCTCCTGTGGTTGTCCTGTGTCTGCCACCACCTTATCACCTGTTTCCGCTTCAACAAGTGCATTGTCATAGAGACCTAAGTGCTGTGGAAAGTTCTGAGACCCAAGAGACCCTCTATAATTGGTAAGGGACATACTCGGTACAAGGCATTACCGAAGAGGAAAGGTTTTGCCCAGGCTACATTTCCTTTTTCACAAATTGTTCAAGTGCAAGCATAAAGAATAGCTTTCTCTGGTTAGTGGTACATTCTAATTAAAGCTTAACTTTTATATGCGATTTCCCAAATTTTCCAGGTTTAAAGGTTAATAAAAAACTCACCATTAAAATTATGTCAAAGTATTTTTAAATGTATCAAATATAGTTTTGATAATTTAAAAAACATTTGGGGATTTTTACTGCTAAAATATGAACTTTAATTATCATAATACAATATTGTAGTTTATGAGATGAATATGATAGAATGCCAGTAAACTTTTGTTGTGTTTTTTAATCAAGGCAAGGCTATCTTACCAGTTTCCAAAATGTTGGAGTGAGCCGGTCGTGGTGGCGCATGCCTGTAATCCCAGCACTTGGGAGGCTGAGGCAAGAGGATCATTGCAAGTTCGAGGCCAGCCTGGGCTACAAAGTGAGCTCAAGGCCAGCCTGAACTGCATAGTGAGACCCTGTCTCAAAAAAAAAAAAAAACCTGCAAAATGTTGGCGTGAACATGAATGTAAGTATGATCTCTTCTATCAGTACTGTACAGCTATATAAACTGTTACTTGTAGTTATTTTAAAATCATTTAATGAAAATATATATTTGTACTTTCCTGATTTGTAGTATTACTCAGAGTTATGGACTCAATCCTATATAAAATATTTGTTTTTAGTAAACTGATGCAATTTATGATAACTGGTAATACCCAGTATTTTTTCCTTCTGCTTCCTACAGGCACCTTAGCCTTAGAAATATATAATTTTTCCTTCTTTGATTTATCTGTGCTAATAAATTACTTCTGCAACTTGTAATTTAACTCTCTCTGAAAAAGTGAATGATTTGCTGCTACTTTTATGTATTTGATTCAGCCTCAGAAATGTGGTAAATTTTGCAGCCCATGAGACATTTGGGAAGTTTTCCCAGGCTGGTCTTGAATCCTGGCTCCTGCCATCCACCCTCATCTCAGCCTCCAAGTAGCTGAGAAACCTTGTGTGCACCACCAACCCAGGAGACCCTGTCTGCGCCTGAAACTTACATCTGCCTTTACGGGGCCTCCCAGCCACTCCCAGTTTATCATTCTTGTTCCCTTTAAGAGAAAATACTTGTTCATAAGCTTCAAATTGAGTGGAGAAAAAGTGGGTCTTTCTAATTACTGTTAGTCCTACTATAATAGTTTGGGTGGGGTCTGACAGGTTTTTTTTGGTTCTTAGCAAGTGTGGGCCTGCTTATGTCTTGAGTGGAGCTGTCACAATCAGCCATCTGAGTGCTCAGATCTAGCTGGTGCTTGGTTCTCTTTTCCTTTTTTTTGTTTTGTTTTGTTTTGTTTTGTTGAGACAGGGTCACTATGTAGTTCAGGCTGATCCTGAACTCATTGTGTAGCCCAGGCTCTTATAGCAATCCTCCTGCCTCAGCCTCCCAAGTTCTGGGATTACAAGCATGTGCCACCATACCCAGCTTTCTCTTTTCCTTTTTAAATAGAAACAAGATGGTAAATGAGAAAAGTAATGTCACTTTTTCCCTTTGATATTGCTAAGCCTGTTGGTAACACGCTGGCCTTTCTGTTCACTAATAGCACCCCCGCTCCTCCTCCTCATCACAAATACTCCATTCTGAGCTGCCAGTTTCCCATGTTTCAAGAAGGTGACACCAGAGTTGGCAGGTGTGAGTTGCAATCCCACTGTGTCCATGTGGGAACTCTGGCAAGGCTAAGCCAGAGGCAGTGTGGTGATGAGAGATGCCAGGTATTGCACATCAGGACCTCTGTGTCCCAAGACCTTTCCTGAGATCCTGGCTCATTCCTTCCTTTGAGTTAGTCACTGTGGAGATCACTTCCTGCTCCATAAAACAGTAACTGCCTGGTGTGGTGGTGCATACCTATAATCTCAGCACTCATGAGGCTGAGGCAGGGGAATCTGAGTTTGAGGCCAGCCTGGACTACATAGCTCAAGGTTCAAGGCCAGCTTGAGCTACATAGCAATACTTTGTCTCAAAAAAACAAACAACAACAATAATAAAATAGTAAAACCGTATCCATGAATCACCTGTCAACCCACTGTGTTTTGTGTCCCCTCCTTGACCCAGAGACTCTGGGTACTGGGTTCAAATGCTATCTCTGTAGCTTTCAGTAACCATTTAAAAATTCCCTGCCCTGGGTGTTCTCGGTAAAGAGGGAGTAAATAAAAGCTCCACGTGAGCTGAATGAGTGTGCAAGACTCAGTGTCCATACACTGCTGTGAGATCTGTATATGAAAGGGGCTATTACTGCACAGTGCTGGCCCTGTGGGTCCCTGCACCTGTAGATGCACTCATTTCTTTTGCATTTAATAGATGGTTTACTCCAAGGAGGACTAGAACTTTCTCTCCTTTTCACCATGCTAAACAAACTATTTCCTTTTTCTCTTTCTATTCTCTCATTATAACTAAGAATTCTACTAATCTACTATTACAACTAAGAATTCTTTTGTGCTTGAGAGGCTCCATGCTCATGAAGACTGTACCTGTGTTCCCAAGCGTGGAGATGAACAGATCATCCACAACAACCTAAAAAGCGTACAGTAGCTTAAGTTCTTTGTGTATCTGTGTTGTAGGGGGATAAATAAACCTCTAACTGAGCAGTCATCTGAGAGCGGGCATTACTGCTGAAACAAACAACAATTTACGTGGTCAAAAGTAAAGGCATACCTGATGTTCTATTCTCAGTGCAGGAAAACAGCAAGGAAAATGGTCTGTGCCGTGCACCATAGGAATCCTATATGGGACCTTGCTTTCCCTTTACCCTAAGCGTTATCTCCAGCCATCTTTGCTAATTAAATGGGCGCTTGACCCTATGAATGAGACTCACGTCTGAAAAAGCAGCATCATCCCTCCCCCACCAGCATGAGATCCAGGCAGAGCCGCAGACAACTTCAGGGGCCTTGGGAGCCACTCGGTGCCCCCCTGCCCCACACCCTCGGGGGAGCTGAGCTGAACCTCAGACAGCTTCAGCGGGCTCCGTGACTGCGTCCTCACCCTTCCCCCACCGACATGGGAACTGGGCTGAACCCCGGACAGCTTCAGGAACCTTGGTGAGCCACCCGTGTCCCCGCAACACTAGTCTACTCCTGCCCCGCCTACACCAGCCTAGAAGCCAGGTGGAGCCCTAGACAGCTTCAGGGGCCTTGGCAACCACTCCCTGTCCTACCCGCCCCCCTGCACCCTCGGACTAACTGAAGTGAACCTCCCACAACTTCCGTAGCCTAGTGACTTCACACTCACCCCCTCTATGGGCATGGGAGCCAGGCTGAGTCCTGGGTAGTGTCTGGAGCCTCAGCGACCACAACCCACCCACTCCTGCACCCTTGCAGAGGCAGAGCTGAAACCCAAACAGCTTTGGGAACCCCATGTGGGAGCCAAGCTGAGCCCCTGACAGCTTCAGGAGCATTGGTGACCATACCCAATGCCCACATGCCACTGGGGAGCCACAGAGCACTGGGGATCTTCCAGTCCTTGCCCAACCACTCCCACATCATTGTGGGACTGAGGCTGAGCTCCAGGTAACATCCAGATCTTCAAAAATGACAAAAGGAGTAAAGTGCAATCTCAGAGTTCCACTCAACCCAGAACAAGTCCAGGAGATGTCAACACAGAAGAGCTTGAAAGTCATACATCTGAAATTTCTGAAATGATAGCAGCTGAAGTAAAGGAACAACTCCATCAGGCCATAGAAGACATCAAATCAGAAATAATCTCTCAGGTAAAAAAAGAAATATCAACAACAATGAAGTAATTGATTAGCATATTTAAAGAAGACATAGATACAAAAATAGAGGAGAACAGAAACATGATGGAAACCTTGAATGAACAATATAGGAAAGAACTAGAATGCATGAAACATATTCAAACAGATACCCAGGAAATTAAAACTTCCATCTAAAGCTGGCAAAACTGTTTGAATGAAGGTAAAGACAGACTTTCAGACCTTGAAGACAGCATTGCCACTAATGACTATGAAAGGAAGGATCTCTTGAAAATAATGAAAAACCAGGAAATAGCAATTTAACAGCTGCCAGATGAAGCAAAGAAAAACAATGTAAGATTAACAGCTGTCAATGAAACAGCAGGCATCAACACAAATGACATTAAAAAAACTATTTGCAGAAGTAATAGCAGAAAATTTCCCAAGCATGGAAAAAGAATTGGACATACAGTTAACTTAGGCATATAGAACTCCAATTAGCCATAACCAAAATAAATCTACACCCAGACATATAGTGATCAAGATCCCAGAAAGTAATCAAAAAATAGAATATTAAAAGCTCTTAGAGAAAAGAAACAGATCACCTATAAAGGAAAGCCCATCAGAATCACAGCAGATTTCTCAACACAAACCATCAAGTCAAGAAGAACTCATAGTGAAGTATTTCAGGTCCTGAAAGAAAACAACTTCCAACCCAGATTGATGTATGCTGCAAAACTACCCTTCAAAATTAATGGAGAAATAAAATACTTCCATGATAAAGAACAACTGAAGAAATTGATGAGCAAGAGGAAGAGATAACAATCATGAACATCTATGCACCAAATACAGGAGCACCCAACTATATAAGACAAATTTTAATAGACATTCAAAATCAAATAAGCAGCAACACAATCATAACAGGGGATTTTAATACCCCATTCACAAAGAGATAGATCAACTAGACAAACAATCAGCAAAGAAATAACAGAACTTAAACAAACTTGTGAACAAATGGAGTTAGTAGACCTTTACAGTGTTGCATCCAACAGCATCAG